CCCCAACCCCAACCCCAACCCCAACCCCAACCCCAACCCCAACCCCAACCCCAACCCCAACCCCAACCCCAACCCCAACCCCAACCCCAACCCCAACCCCAACCCCAACCCCAACCCCAACCCCAACCCCAACCCCAACCCCAACCCCAACCCCAACCCCAACCCCAACCCCAACCCCAACCCCAACCCCAACCCCAACCCCAACCCCATAAGAATATTGATTATTAAAGAGAGTCAATGTATATTTATTTTTTACATTGTTTTTTATCGAGTAAAGTATTTTTTTAAAAGAAATTAGATCTTTTAGAAATATCAATATAAAATTGCTAAAAATATCAAATAAATGGAAAAAAACAATTAAATGCCTGATTCTATAAAGCAGTCCCAGATAAAAATAGAAGGTTAAGAAGAAAATGAAATAGATTATGATGATAGTTTTGAATAAGTAGAGCCAGATGAAGGAATATCTTAAGATTTTATATAAATTATAAATAATATTAGAAAAGATCAAAATGATATAAAAACAGATTAATGTAAAATAATAGATAGAAATGTTGAGCTTCAGGACTAAATTGAATTTTTGGAAATAACATTTTAAAAAAAGATATAGTCAAACAGAGAGATAGGTTAATTAGAAAAAGAATTAGAAATGAGAAAAAAATCTATTTTAGATATATTTGAGATAGATGATTTTAGTATGCATATGTTCAAGTAGCATAATAAAAATAAATTTAAAGATTTGCAAGAAGCAATTAACTTTTTCTAATTCCTTCAATCTAAATCGATTATTTATAAAGATTGGCATACCTTTCATTGTAGTTAATGTATGTAGTTTATAACCAAGAACTAAAATACTATTCAATAATAAATAAAAAACTACTTTAATTTAGAATAATAAATCAGTGATATCAAAAGTTGTATATGAATGAATTAATAGAATGAATATCAAAATCTTATTTATTTATTATTAGCATAATTACAATACAAATCTAAAATATATTAAAATAAATATCTTTATAAACAATTATTTTTATTATATTAGTGTAAATTCAGTTTTTCTAAATATATAAAATCATATTTATCATGTAGAGCGTTTAAATTAATCAATATATTTTCACTCTTCTAAATCTATTAAATAAATTTTTTACCTTTTTGTTCTATTTTTATCTTTTAAAATAGTGTTTAATTTTCGAATAACTAAAATAAAGTTAAAAATGTTTTTTATCATATAAATGCTTGAAATTTAAAGCCAAGATAGCCTTTTTTAAGAAAATATATTTTAAATTATATATTTAGAAAGATAGTTGTTATTTAGTAATATAAATATGATCACTATAAAAGGATAACTAAAAAAAATTAATAAGATAATTTCATATTATTTGATTCATTATTGTTGTTTATATTCTCATTTTTTTATTTTTTTTTAATCAAAATTATTAATGGCTTTCTTTAAAATTTGTTTCTACCTTTAGTAAACATTAAATACTAAGATAAAGATTTTTTAAACTAAATAATGAATTAATTGCTTTCTTCTTTCTAAACCTACCTTTAAGTTAAGTATACAATTGATGAAGACATGTTTAGAAAAGGAGGTTTAGAGTTTTATATTAAAATTTTAAGTGAAAATCAGATTTGTGTTAAACTCAATTTATTAAGCTTAATGCTATTCGTAAATAGAATAAATAAATACCGTAAAAACTTGGAAACTTAACCAATTCGGCTTAAATTCGAAGCATATTTAGACAACCTTTAAATTCAAAAAAATTAATAAAAATTACAAAAACTCTGTTCAAAATATATATAAATTTATGATACTTTATAATCATATATTTAAATTGGTTAATACTTGCAACATCAGTATTTAACATATTAAATCTTTTGTATCAGTAAAACCCTAATTCATTTTAGTTAGTAATGAACTAATCTTTTTATTTTCTAGATCCATCTTTTATATGCAAAGTTGTCTTTTTAAAAAGGTTTTCTATTTTTTTATTAAGTTTAATAGCAACTAATATTTAACATAATATCGAGCGATAGAATTATAAGACTTTGGCTACCAGCTATATGAGAAAAAAAATCTATTTAGCTTTTTTGATCAATATCCATGAAACTAAGTATTCATTACAAGAGAGAAAAATAAATTTATTATTTTTATTAATAAACTTTATTAGTTAAAAGAGAAATAAAACAAATGAATTTAACTAAATTTTTTTACTCGTTCATTTAAAGTGATAAACTCTTTAAATTTTTAATTGAGGTAAGGTCTCTTCCTAATCTAAAAGTTGCATTATTATCATCTTCATTAATACTTTAAATAAGGAATATTTATTTTTTTAATTTTACTATGCATTTTTCTTTACTCTAATTTAAGTTTCAAGGAAGAGAGACTTGAACAGTCTTTTAAAAATGAAAATGATGCAAAACCCTACGAACCTATCAAATGTGATCTTTTTATTGTTTTTAGCAAAAATTAAAAATAAAAATAAAAATTAATTAAAGATTAGGTTTATTTAATATTTGTTATGAGAATTTTTAAAATAATTAATTAAAATAAAATATCAAGCCTTTTTAAATATTTTAAATTTAAAATCTATTAATAATTAAAATTGGAAAGAAGGTAATTAATAAAAACTTATTCAAAATAAATTTTTAGTTTAATTATTTTTTTTATACTTAATATCTAGAGACAAACTCTAAAGATTAGTGCAGTCTTTGAAAGTAAGATTTAGCGCTTTTAATCCATTGTCTCCGATTTAATTAGATCTATTAAATAAATGAAAAATATTTAATTTAATGATTTATAATCATTATCAATTTGATAAAATATATATCAGTCAATTATCTTTACCCTAATTTTAAAGATAAATTAGTTAATTATGTTAGAGATTTCAAAGCAGGACTTAAATAAGCAGCACAATTATCATCTAAGTCATTCGATCTTTTTTTATAAATGATATAACTATATAAATTGATTCATTTGAAATTAAAAATTTTCATTCACTAGCAAAAGCTAAAAATAATAAAAATATCTATTACGGAAGACTTATTTAGAGAGTTTATAAGTTCTTTAAGCTAGAAAGAAAAGATAAACTTTCAATTTTTTTGGATATTGAATCGCGACTTTTTTATAATATAAATACTTAAAACAAATTTATTTATAAAATATTATTAAAAAGTATATTTAAAATAATTAATATTTTTATCCTTAAAATAAATTAAATTGTTAAAAGCAATAAATCGGAATGAGAGTTTAAAATATTTAAGTTAATTTAAATTTGCTTAAAAACAAAATATTTATAGTCAGGATTATTTATTTATTTATTTATTTTTATATATGTAAATTATTTTTACCTAATTTTTAAAATGAGAGTCTTTAAGTTTTCTAAGCATTGCAAGTTAGAAATTAAGCTTGAAAAGCCTAATTAGCCAATATTATTATTTCTATATTTAATAAAATTATTTTATTCTGTGAAATACCTTTAATTAAAATAGATAGATATTTTTACTTTAGATTTAAATTTAAATACAGAAGATTTGTCAATTTTTTTAATGCAGAGCTAACAGCTTATGTTCCTTTTTCACCAAAATTATGGTTACTTTTATGTTTATTAAAAGTTAAATAAGAATTAATAATTTTTCAACACAAATTTTTGATTGATTATTGTCCAATAAATAACCTCTGATTCTTCAAAATCACCCAAATATTATTGATAATTTTTTAATTTGAAGAAAAATTTTTAAAAAGGCTAAATTTAAAAATTTAATAGAAAAATCAATCATAAAGATTGATATAAATTAAAATTATTAATATTATAAATTAAATTCTATTATAAAATTATTTATTTTTCAATAAATCATTTTCAAATACATCAGCTTACTTTCTCTTTACTCTTAATGAAAATTCAGTATGTAAAGAAAGAGGAAATTGAGTTAATTCGGTGGTTTTGAGAGCCATAAGTTTTATTTATCTTAAAGGTTTACTAAAATATTTTTATATAAGGAGAGAGTGTTCTATTCCATCAATGCACTACAAATTTATTTTTTCCTGTTCTTAAAATTTCATACTAGGGAATATCCATTCATACATTCTCCCCTTTGAATTCATGATATTTGAGTATATACTAATATTATATATTTTTTTACCTCAATTCATTTATTCTAATCTAAGCATGCTTTTTTAATACTTTCTTTCCTTTTGATAATTTAAGATAAAGACTGTAAAATTTAAAACAGGACACTTGATTTTTTACAAAAATTAAGAATTTATTACTCGTTTAATAGTGTTTTATGAAAGAGCCAAAGCTGAATTATGTAATCGTATCTAATTTTTACTTTTGAATGATTCAATATAAGCCTAATAAATATTAACATTTGTGATTTTTTTTATGAAATAAAGTTAACAACTTAAATATTAATTTTTATTTCTAAATAAGATTGAAAAGTTTATTACAAATACAATATCATTTATTTTCAATTAATAATTAAAAAATATTAAATTTTATTGAAGTTAAGATCACTAATTAATAATTTAAATAATAAATTAAGGTATTCAATAGAGAGAGAATGAACTTTATCTGATTCATAGAATAAATAAATCAGTTTTTAAATAAGGGAGGATATGTCTTTTAGCAAAAAATGGTTATTCTCTTAGATTAATTCAAGAATATATGAAAAATACGGATTATTTTTATGATTAAACCATTATTTAATATTATGTAAAGCAAATAAAAGATCTTGATCGTGTATTTGAGCCAATTATTCACACAAAAGAAAAACAATTTAAATACTCAGCAGATTAATAAAACTGAATAGTAGAGGCTGTTGAGAAGAATCCTGAAAGATCACTTAGAATGATATCAGAAGATTAACAATATATCCAAACAATCTTCATCATTAAACAATAAAAAAATCTATTAGATATAGAGGATATGAAAATAGTCTCAAGGCTAGAAAATTCATAATTTTTGATGATTAATTAAATTAAAAGAAGGTTTAAGTTTACACATAGAACAAACAAAATTTGGCAATCAGTACGGTTTATGATGAATCAAATTTATGAGATTAAAGATAAATTCATAAAAATAATTAAAAAAATGAAAAAAAGTATTTAAAAAAAGAGTCTAAATAGAATGATGGATTAAAAGTTTAAGTTTTTGAAGCAAAATTAATAAATGACTCCTAATATATTGATTGAATGGTATGAAACACCATTAAATGCATTGAAATATTAAGAGATTATTATGTAAGGTATTATAAACAATCCAAATTTTGAAAAGCAATAGGATCGATCGATTAATACAAGATTAAATGAAAATAAATTTAATTTAAGAAATTTTTTTTCTATTTTCAATAAATAAATAAATAATCCCTAAATCTATCTTAAATTTTGGATGTAATTTTTTATTTTTTTTTTAAATTAAAAAAAATGTAATAAACATTATTGAAAACATTAATAATTTTTTAATTAAAATTTTATAAATTCTATTATAAAATTATTTAAAAAGAATATTTTTTATTTAAAATCCTAGCTATACCAATCTATCAAGTGATTGTGATCAGAACGTCTCCTGATTTAATCCATAAAATAGAATTTCTTCCTCTTCTTCTGTGATATGGTTCTTAGAAAATTAACTACTTCGAAAGTCAAAATTAAGATCAAACTTTTTCCACTCTGATTTATTTTCCAAATAATAGATAACACCGTAAGGTATGCCCGAGTCTTAGTTTTACTTATCAAATTTAGTGAAAGCTATTTTTATTTAAATAAAAATATATTTTTGGTTAATTATCAGGCAGAATAAGAAATATTTTCTTTATTTATTTGACCAATTTTTTATTTTTAAAATAGAAAATACTCTGCCTGAGTATCAAATAATATATTATTCAAGTTAACCGAAAATTAATTAGATGATTAATAAATAAATTTTAAGGAATATCATAATAATAAATAAAAAATGAAATTTAATAAGTGTAAAAAAATTTTTAATTTATTTTTTATATTTTTATGTTTTGAGCTTTAGAAATATAAATGTTTTTTTTGCTGTTTTTTAATCTTTTTTGCTATTTATGGGGAAAAGTTGTTGTGGATTGAGGTACTGTTTAATAAAATATTTAAATTTAAATATCTAACATTTTTTTACTTAAAATCTAGTGATAACTATTAGAGACTTACACTATTTCTTAAAGAAGAAACTAATCCTTATGCGTCTTAAGCCTTAACCTTAACTTAGCTTTTAGGATTGAAAGTAAATTTTGATTTAATTTGATAAAGTTTACCTCAGTATAATACTTAAAGTCTAGAGATTTTTGCACTATGCCAAAGCAGAACCTATACAAACAAATTGTTTTTTACCTAATTTGACAGATCTTTTTTAACATTAAATAGAGTTTTGTTTTATTTAACAATTTTTTTTCAATAATATTTTAATTAAATTTCTATAATTCTTAAACTTTTGATTTAATTCTTAAACATGTTTATTGTTTTATTTTTGAAAAACTTTTATTTTAGATATTGTTTTATTTTAAAAAACTTTTATTTTAGATATTGTTTTATAAATAGTTAATTAATTAGATAAAAAAATTTTTTTAAATCATCTTGAGAGATATTTTTATTAACTCTAGGTTTTAAATATTTTTTTTTACGTTTCAAGCTTGAAAGTCTAGAGGTTTGGGTAATTTATTAAAGAAGAACAAAAAAGTGCTAAGCCTTTTTCAGTCAGATCTTAAACTTTCCTTTTCATTATTAATTCAAAAAATATTTAACTTTTTATAGATATAATGAAAAAATATTTATTTTTTAATTATGATTATATCTTAATAAAAATAATAAAATAACCTCTAAAAATTATTTATTTTTACATTTTATAAAATGAATGGAATCAGTTAGGAGTTTTTACAAATTTAAATGATAAAGAGTAATAAAGATAACTAAAAAGAAATTTTTTACATTAAATTGAGATTTAGCTCAGAAAGAATTTTGCATTATTGTATGCTTGAAGATATTGAAGAAATTAATTGGTCACTTATATTATTATAACTATATATAAAGTTTTATTAATCTTATTGAAAAAATAAAGAAACATTTTTAGTTTTTAATATGTTAAAAAATAATTATTTGAAAAAACATTTTTTAATTTATAAATTTTATAACCTTAGATTAAGAGAAAGTACTGATATCTTTTAATATGTTGCAATAACAGTAGCTAAATCAGATAATTCTTCATAATTATCTGGCAAACTATTTCATTTTATTTGAAAATAATTAATAATTTAAATAATAAATAAATCAAAATTATTTTTAAAATCATACTAAAAAATTTATTTAATAAAGAGTTTATTTAAGAATTACCGTATTAGGAGATTTAACTATTCAATATTTTTGCAATTTTATAAACTGGAGAATAAATTAGCAGGGCTCGAGCTTATCCCTCTAATTTAATTAAATATTAGATTACATTAATATTGATATAAATAAATTATAAGATAAAAATATTATAGAATTAAAATAAATGTGAGCAGAATAATGTGAATTTTATTTATAAATTTACATTTGAAGTAAAAAATTGGTGATATTTGTTCCTTTAGATAAATTAGACAGTTTAGAACTAATTGCATTAACTTTATTGATTGGAGTCTCAATCCATAAATCGCGCATTAATATTATTGATAGACGTAAGTTGATGTTCTCTTAAATGCTAGAATTTACAAACTTAAGAGAAGAAAATAAACATTTATAAGTAGTTTATTTGCTAATAAAATTGTGTATACATCCTCAACACTGTGAAATTTTTTAATTTATTAAGTCATTTTTGAAGTCTTCTTTTTTAAATAATTTCTTTAAGAATATTTTTTATTTTAATAATTATTTATTTAATTTGGTTAGTAATCACTTCTTCATTGTTTTCTTGAAGAACAAATAAAAAAAGTAATAAATTAATATGGAAATTAGAAATATAAATTTTTAATTTTTATTTTATTTCTTATTAAATCTTTCCAAGTTAAAAATTACTAACTATTAGGCGCTATTAATTATCATAATATTTTTTTCTAAAATAAACATTCATTTTATTATCATATAAAGGTTTCAAAGAGAATTTAAGGTAAAGGTAAAATTTTTTATATGTAAATTAAATAAATTACTAAAATCAAATAAATATAAAATAAATTTCAGAAATAACGAAATAATTTTCAATTTCAATTACAATTTCTAGGAAAATTTTTAATATTTAAGATTGTTATTTTTGTAGAAGAATAAAAATTTTTTTAAATTATTTAATTATAAATAAAAAGAAGATAGCCCGCCGTGGGGCTCGAACCCACGACCACAAGATTAAGAGTCTTGCGCTCTACCGACTGAGCTAGGCGGGCAATTCAATTATTTTTCAAATTACAATAAGCATTTGCTTGAGGAGCGAGTGTTTATAAAAGTAGAGGCATTAATTTATGGATAAAAAACTTAGTAATAATATCAATTTATGGTTTTTTTGTATTAAAATTATAAAATCAATAGTTTTTTAAATATTATAAATTATTTAAAGAAATAAACCTTAACTAAATAAAAGATTGCTAATAAAAGAAGACACCCAGAAGAATACATAATTAATTAATTAATTATGATTTTTGTTAAAATATTATATTCAAGTTGTAAGTAGCGTAATAGATAAAAGAAAACTTATCTCATTCAAATATAGCTTTTAAAAAAATTCAAAACTTCTTTTTATTACTAATTTAATTATTAAAAAACTATTAAAAATTAAATTAAGATTTCTATTTAAATATTATTATGTATTCGATATAAGCTATATAAAAAATAATCAAGCAATATAATTAGTAAGGAGTTTAGTCAAATAAAATACATTTATATATAGCGAATTTATTTAATCAGGAAACCAATTTATAATTTTTAAAGTATTTAGACCTCTTAAAAACTTTATATAAAATATTAAAGAGGGACAAATTTTCTATAAGAAACACATTTTTAGAATGTCAAAACCTCAGGTTAAGCCAAATATTTTAACAAAATAATTTAAAACCTATTGCCAGAAATTAAATAATAAATAATTAATTATTAATCCTTTACGATAATTAGTAAATTTTATCAATACTTAAAAAATAAACTAAATATAAATATTTTCATTTAAGAAACAATTTTTAATCTTATTTATTGTTTTTTAACAATAAACTTAGCCACTATTAAAGAAATATCTTGATAAGTATTTTTTAAAAACTCAGATCAGTCAAAAAGTCTAGTTTAATTTCTTAGTATCAACAAGTCTTATTAATTTTCTCTTCATTAATTTTTGCCAATTAATTTAATCTTAACATATGCTAATAAAATTTGAATTAATTTGATTGAAATTTAATAAAAAAGTTACTCGATGAAAATCAAACTTAGTTAATGGCATTTTAATATCTGAGTGGTAAAAAGCTAGTTTAAACTTTAATTCTATCCTCTTATTTTACACAAAAATAAATTACTAATTTTTGTTAAATAATATTACTAATTTAATTTTATAGAAGTTTAAGTTAATTTTTTCATTTTTGTAATTCCCGTTGCAAGTTCTATCATTCCTTAATCTTTTATGTAATTAAACCTTTTTATAATTAAGATATTAAAAATAAATAATCGATTTTTGTAAATAATAAAAATACTGTAAATTTAGATATAAAATAGCTATTTTATGACAGCTTGCAATACCATTAGCTAACCCAGAAATACCAGTATCTCCTATAAAATTATTTCTTTTCGTAATTTTAAATTAATTTCTTCATAAAAATAATAAAAATAGATATAAAAAAAATACGATAAATTTAATTTTAATTTCTGCAAGTTAAACAGTGAGCTAATCGATAAACCTAGGTCTATTACACCATAATCTCTAATATAATTTGCCCTATTAATTAAATTTATGTTTATATAATTTTTAAAATTTAAAAGGCATTTATCATTTTGTTATAAAAATCAATCCTTTCACTTTATTTCTTGTTTATGTATTTTAAAATTTATATTTTAAGCAAATTAATTATCCAATTAAATTTTTATTAAAAATTATCAAGATGTATTTATTTGCCAAATAATTAATAATTTTCAAAGAAGTAAATAACAGTTAATTTAATCCTTTAAGTAATTTTATAAAATTGAGATTTATTAGATTCAAAGTTATAAATAACTCTATGTTTTTATAAAAAATTAACTTGAATAAAATAAATTTATTTCAAATGATCATTTGTTTGTTTATTACTTAAGTTTAATATAATACAAGCGTTAACTTTGAATAAAAGTTATTCTACTATTTGTAAAACAAATTTTAGATATGATGATAAGCTAAAATTTTAATTTAATAAAATCACATTTTTAATGATTCAGGTTAAGTTTGAATTTAAACTACAAATATATGCGGAACTATGTAAAATTATTAATTATTTTTCAAGATAGAGTCTAGATAAATAAAATAGACTAAAATATAGCAATTAAATAAATTGTTATAATTTTATTTTTCAATAAAATAAATTTAATAAATTTTCATTAAAATAAATATTAAATAAGTTACTAAAAATCTAAGCTAAGTTGAGTTAATTTTGAGCAAACTCCTAAATCAATTGTTATTTTATACAAACCTGTGCATTATATTTCATTTTGGCTTTAATAAAATAAATTAAAAAAATTATCAAAAACAAAATAAATTTATAATCTACCTTATGCTAAAATCAAATTAATTCAAATTAACTAATTTATTTATTCCTATAGCAAATGTGGAAGCTTGCTTGCAGTTTATAAAATTTGACCTATTTCCCATAAATAAATAAATAAATTATTATTTATCTTGAAAATAAATCGAATTTTACTCTATTTCTATCAAGAATGTTGAAATAAGAGTACATTTAGAAATTCCTTAAATAATGTTAGAAGCTCCCAATTTATTTTTACTAATTATCATAATTTTATCAATTATTTTAATTTATTAATTTAAAAAATAACTTTAAATAAATCTTCAAAGTTTTCAATTATGAGCAGTTTCCAATACCTTAGCCTAAACAGTTACCTCCTTCTGCATTGATATCGTTTTTGCTTGATAAATACATTAAATTAAATCTATTTTACAACAAATTAATTTACCTTAAATTTAAGTTTAATGAAGTCAATTTTATACATTTACTAATTGCTAAGCCTAACATTTAAGCTCCTTTTGTACCTATCCTATGTGTTCTATAATATAATTAAATAGTTAATAAATTAAAAAAATATTTAAACTACTTAAGAAAGAGATTTATTGAAGTTAAATTTATTAAGTTTCCTATTTGAGCACTCATTTTGGAGAAATCTGAAACTCTTTAAATTTGGCTAAATTAAATTAAAAATTATTTAGAACGCTCTTTTAAAAAAATATTTTTGCTACTTTTTTTAGAAAACAATAGAAATATCAATGAGATTGACACATTTACCGATAGGAAGATAAGAATAATTTCTATAATTTATATAAATAACTAAGAAATAAACTTTAAAATAAATATTTTACACAGTAGAAAGATAAAGTTATTTTAATTATTTACATTTTCCTATTCCTAATCCAAGCTAATAAAATCCCTTTTTACCTATTTAATTATTGCTAAAAAAATGAAATCAAAGAAGAAATTCCAAAATTATTCATTTTAAATCAAAGAATTTATTTTTTCAAATTGAAATTATTACTCTAAGCTAAAGTGAATAAAGTTTAGTTAAGAACAACTTTTGATGCTTAATCCTAATTCTTCTATCCCAGAGTCTTTTATATTATTATTGCTTTATTTTACAAAATAAATTATTAAATTTCTTAAAAATTATTGATAATTTTTACTTGAAATTCAAAGTAAGCTGCTTTAATTTTTAACATTTTCTAATGCTGCACGCAAAGTCTTTAACTCCATTATCTTGTATTAAATTTTCCCTACAAATTTTTCTTTAATGTCATTCAATTTATTAAATAAATTAGATACTAAAAGTTCAAATTTAGAATTTCTAGTTGATTGCACTTACTGATTCCAAGACCCAATTAAGAAATTCCATAATTCCCAATATAATTTTAGCTTTAATTTAGTTTTTTTATTTTATTTGTATTGACTCAAACAATTAATTGATACCTCAAAATCATTTTCAAGCTTCTTAGATTACTTAAGTTTCCAATATTTTAGCTCAAACTAAATTTCTCTTAAAAATCAATTAATATAGCATTATTAAAAATACTTACGATATAATGATATCTTAAAGCAACACATTTTGAGTTTAAATTCCTTTTTATCTTTAATTGAATTTGAGCTAATTAATTTAAAAATAATTAATTGGATATAAAATAGATTTCTATAATAAATGAACTACCTCATATCAATAGATAAATATTGAATATCAGAACAGGTACTTATTTTTTCTAAGATACTTTGTGCTCCTTCAACAAAAATATAATTATTTCTATAAAAAGAAAGAAAATTAAATTATTGATCTTAAGTTGAATAAATATTCACTTTAGCAAAATTGTAAGAGATTTTAAGTTTCTACAATCTGAAATTCCTTCACCTAAAAGAAAAGCTCCTTACGACTGAATTTAATTTTATCTAAAATTTAAAACCCATATGTTTTTTAATAATTAAATTAATATTATTTATAATTACGATAAATCTAGCTTTAGTTATTAAAGATTCTTACAGAGAGATATTCCTTTTGCTATTTGAGCTACTTATAAAACTTTTATGTTTTTATTACTATTTTAAAAAGAATGATTATTGCATTATTTAATTTATAATAATATACTTTAAGTAGCAAGCTATGTCTCGTTAATCTTTGTTTTAATCAAACTTTTTGAAGTGGATATTTGAATAATTATCAAAATCTTCAGAAACTTTACTTCATAATAAAAAAAAAATAAATATTAAAAATAATTTTTAAAATTTTACTAAAATCTAAGCTAGACCTCCTCATCAAAGGCATTTGCAGACATGTTAAGCTTAATTTAAAAAAATGAAAATATAGTTTAATTTCTTTACTTCAATTAATATTTACCTATTAATTCTCTTCAACTGCATTATCTATAACAATTTCGTTTTTTTTATTTTAATTTGAACCAAAAATCATCTTTTTAATTGTTATTTTTATTTGATAATATTATTTACTGACTGATATAGTTTTAATAATTATTTCAATATTAAAATCAAATTTAAAAAATTTTTAAAATAGCTATTATAATTTCATCACTATTATGATTAGCTTTTTTAAGATATTTAATGAAGAATGTTATAAAATAACATTAAAGGAATTAATATAAACGAAAATATATATCAAAAATATCAAATTTTCTCATTTTAAAGAAATAATTTAATTGGTAGTCAATTAATTAATTAACATTAAAAAAGAAATGAATTCCTAAAAAAATTAAAATTTGGTATAGGTTCATAATAAAAACTATCTATTAAAAGTGCTTATAATTCAAAACATATATATAAACATGTAAGTAACTTATGTAGAATGATAAAATAATTTATTACTATCAAATAATTTTTTCTACAGCTTCAGTAAGAATTAGCTCTGAGTCCTTATCTCCGTTAAAAGATATTTTTATTTAGAGATCTTAGCTATTAATTAAATCTCTTTATTCTTATTTTGATAGAGTCAATAAATTATTCTAGTTTGTAAAATAAGTTGCTTAAAATATTCCTTCACTAATCTAGATTAAAACTTAGATTTCAATTTCTTTTTATTATTAACTATTTTAAGCCATGTTGGCATCATTATCGTCATCATTAATAAAATAGGATATGTATGATTCATAAAGCATTTAACTATCATGTTAGTAATTTTTTTAGTTATTAATTTATTATTCCTAATTAATTAATTATGGAATAATCTTTATTGATGATTGGGTCATACAATTTTAAAAACTTTCATCATACATGCTATAATCCATTACATTATTATTAAAAGATTCAAGTTCTTCTACATATAAAGAATATTGTTCCATAAGCATTTTGTTATTTGAGTTAGATTAAGGATCTATTCTCTTACTCATTTATGCATTCTTTACAGCTTAATTAATTTTCTATGGAATAACTTTGATAGATGCTTGGTTCATACTGTTTAAGGGATTTTATTCGAAAAAAATACAATTTAGATTTGTATTATTGTTAGGCTCTATTGAAGATATTTAACTTTATTCAATAAAAACTTAGCTCTTTAATTTAGATTTATAATCAAGTATTTCATTATTTAATGTATTCAATATGGTCTAATTAATTTATATTGGATTATTTTACCTTATTAAGGCTTTGTTCATATAATTTTAATTATTTTCTTAATTTAAATATTAATTTTACATTCTTATTGATTTTAAAATTGAATCACTATCGTTATTATCTTTTGGCTAAGGTTTCAGTTCAAATTTATCTAGTTGCTCTTCTGAAAATCTTTAATTTAACTTCATATCAATTTTATTATTAGAGTTAAATTCATTTTCTTCCTAATTATCTAAATTGCAGTTTAAAACAAATGAATTATGTGGATTTTTGTAGCTAAACAATTCAATTGAAAACAATTTTTTTATACAGTTTTTAAAGTCTTTTATTTTAAATTTCAAAGAATATTCACTACTTTTATTAAGTGTAGTTTTTGAGCAAAATTGAGTAAAGTTTTGTTCTTTTGGCATTACAAATTGAATATATTTATTATCTCCTTTTACAACTCGATTAACTTGATTATTATTTTTAATAATATCTAATCTTCCAATTTATTAGTTATCGTTAATAGATGTGATATTATCAAATTCTAATTAATCAAGCAAATCAATTATTTTAGGAGGGAACAATAGCTAAAATTTGTTAGTATATTCATTTTAATTAATCACATTAATTAACTAACTATTTAAAAGAGAAGATTGGGTAAGATAAAAATCAGTTTATAATTATTGATATTTGTCTAATATATTTGAGAATTTTTAAGTATTTTATTGAGCGTCTAAAATTATTTACTGAAATAAGCTTCTCAAATTTGATTCTTTTTGATCTTAATTAATATTCAAATCAGATAGCATATTTTTTATTTCTGAAATTTTAAGAATCTAGCTGTAGACCTCTACTGCATTTGTTGATAAATTTTACATCTATTCAGCCAAATTATAGGCTGATTTTTTAGCATTTGCTACTATTTGTATCAATCTTTTTTCCAATTCTTCATAGAATAGGTTAATTTAGTTTAGCATAGAATTATTTTAGTTGAAAACATTTTTAAATTTTTTAAAAAAACTGGCTTCATTAATAAAAGGAAAGAAATTCTTAATAATACTATCATGATTCCAAGTAAAAATTTATTTTATCATTGCACAATCTTCTATGCAAAAATTTGATTGTGTAAATGGGCATTCTTCGCAAAAGAAAATATCTTCGCCATCTTTAATATTATTTACCTTTACATACAGGATATCATTTTAAGAATGTCTTTTGCACTATAATCCTAGTTACTGTTATCTAATCATTCTTTGTTTGTTTAATTGGATTTTAATTTAATTTTCTAAATAACTAATAATTATTTAATTAAACTTTTTTTGTTATTCTAATATCAATTTAAAATTATGGACAAACAAAATATTCTAATATAAATCTTACTTTTTTAAATAAAATTGTTGATATGACATCTTTTACTTTTTTCATTACTAATAATTATTTAATTTATATTATTTGATATTCTAATAACAAATAAAAAAACAAAATATTCTAATATAAATCTCATTTTTTTAAATACAATTTTTGATATGATATCTTTTACTTGTTTCATCATATGTTTCGAAAATTTTACCAAAATAGCTCAAAATTAGATAGAAAAATAAATAAATAGGATTTTAATAGAAAAATATCCACTTTACTTACAAAATATATCAAATATTTTTTTGATTGATTTTCAATAATATATTTAGTAATTTTTAAATATTAATTTTTTAATTTTATATTATTTTTAACTAACTAAAACAGTTATACTATAAAAATTCATAATCATTTTTTTAGTTTAGAATTATTTTTTAATATAAAACTGATTTATAGTACAAATTTTAGGGAAGTGGTTTTTGTTGGAGTTGGTATTAATTATTGAGGAACTACTGTAAATTATATCAAATTTTGATAAAGCTAAGCAGAAATAAAAATAATTTAAAATTATTTTAATTTTATAATATTAAAGAATTAGTTTAAGACTTACATTCATATATATGCTAAATATAAATACACTTGCTATTTTATAATAAAATAAAAAATATCAAATATCTTATGAGTCTACAAATTCAATTGCTAATGAAAGTATTAATTACTATTGACCATTCAAAGTTATTTTCAAATAAACATTTTAACTTTAAGCTAATTTTTTTAATTTTTCATATGGTAATTTAATAAGTTATTTCTGATCTGTAAAATAGCTTGCTTGAAATATTCCTTACGAAATCTTTATTTGAACTTATATTTTTATCTCTTTTAATGATTAATTATTATTTCTATCTTCTGGGTTATAATTTTAATTTACTCTATTTAAATTAGATGTTAATTATTAATCATTACCATAAATAGATTTTTAAGGCTTAATTAATTTTTTTTCCTTTCCATCTAATTTTTTTTCTACTTAATTTTTTTAGAAATTAGTGCTTGGCGTTAAAAGGTTATTAAAATTTTAATTTTGCATGCAACTTTAAAAAAATCTTTTATTTATGAATTTATTTATTTATTTTTAGCGAGAGGATTTGAGATTTTATCAGATTTTTAAGTATTTATATGCCAACATTTTCTTTAAAAGTCAAATTTTAATTAAAATTTTTATATTGAAAAAAAGAATAAATTGAAATAAAAAAATAATTATTCATATAAAAGTGAATGAAATCAAAAACATTCTTATTTTTCTTAGAATGTTTTATTTAAAGTTAAAAATATAAAAAATATAAATTTTGGAAGCAAAATACAAATTCTTTTTGATTTTGATAATTAAAGAGTCTGTGGAACCGAAAGCATAATCTGATTTTAATAAAGTAATAAATTTTCAAAATTTGCTTAAATCAATAAAATTGGAACAGATATAAAAGAATTTATAATAAAAATTAAATTTAAAAAATAACCTACAATTATTTTTAGTTGAGAACTTTTTCAAAAATACATATTATGGGAGCTTTCACTAAAATCAAAAATTATATTTTTATGAATGTGCTTAAACCTTAAATCCTCACAAATTCTCACCAGCAAACATAAATTTTCACCATATTTTCTGAATAAATATTGATAAAATTTTAGGCAGATGGTATTGATGACGATGGTCTTAATTAATGAGCAATTACTGTAAATTAAATTTTGCTAAACTTAAGTGGAAATAAAAATATTTTAAAATTACTTTAATTTTGTTATATTAAAGAATTAGTTTAAGACTTGCATTCATAAATATGCTAAATATAATTAATTATACTTGTTTTATATAAATAAAATAAATAATATCAAATATTTTATGAGTCTACTTATTCAATTGCTTATGAAAGTATTAATTACTATTGGCCATTCAAAGTTATTTTTAATTAGAGATTTTAGCTTTAAGCTAAATTTTTTAAAAGCTTTTATGGCAATTAAATGAGTTGTTTTTAATCTGTAAAATAGCTTGCTTGAAATATTCCTTCAGAAATCTATATTTAAACTATTATTTCTATCTCTTTTTATGATTAATTATTATTGTTGCAAGCTGGTTAGTATTTTTGAGGAAGATTTAATTTCTTTTACTAAATGAAATTTTATTAATTTTAAGCAATATTTTCTTAATTATATTTAAATAAATTATTATCGTTAATGACTTTATTATTATCTACTGCATTAGAATTTTCATTTATTTTCATTAAATTAAATGTTAATTATTAATCATTATTTTTATTATTTTTTTATGGGACGTTAATTGATACTTATTAATTTTGCACATTATTTTCATAATTATATAAGCCTTGATATGGCTATTGCTAATTAATTTCTTTTTCGAAATTAAGAGAATTTAATTTTATTATATTATCATCTAAAGTCTGTTATTCTTGTTAAATTTATGATTCAATATTTTATTATAAATAATTATTTTAGTATTGGTTAAGATATGATGCATCATTTTAGTTTTAAAAGTTACAATTATTGAAATTTAAATTTTGTGTATCATTCTTATTATTATTTTATTAATTATTATGTTATTATAGAACATTGGTTTGTTGTTAATTTAAATTATTAAAATTGAAATTTTAAAACTGATTTTAATAATTATTTTAGTTAAGCTAATTTAATGGTGCAACACTTTGTTGTTAGTGGTTATTGTTTTGGATATTATTTACTTAATTATTTTCGTTTAAACTAGGTAAATATGTAGAATTTTTGTATTGCTAATTATTATTTATATATTAATTTTATAAATTATTAGAATAATCATTTAAGTGTTGGTTAGGAATTTGTGAAAAAATTTGCTGATAGTTGCTTAAGTTATTAAAATTTTAATTTTGGATATTACTTATATTATTTTATTAGTTTAGATTAGGTTAATAAGTAATATTTTGCTATTGTTGATTAAAATTATTAACATTTTAATTTTGCATATTATTCTAGAAATTATTTTAGCCTTGATCTGGTAATTATGCAGTATTTTGCTCTTAAAAATTTTAATATTATAAGTTATAATCATAATTTTAAAAATATTGACCATTTAGATGATCTGGAACTTAGTTAAGGTTTTTAATTTATAAGTTATTATTTTAAATGATTGGGTTAAAATTCAAATTTTACTAATTAATAGGTTGTGGGTTTAGATTGATTTGGTTTTAAGAATTTTAAAAGCAACCTGTTAAATTACAATTTAAACTGAATAAGTCATTTTCATTATTATTGCTAAATAATTCAATCAAAAAATTATTAATGTAGAAATCTTAAGGGTTGATATGTTAAGTATAATTTGTTTAAATATTACTATGTACGTTGCTTATTAAAAAATAAGGATTGTTTCTTAATTTAAATTTGAGGAAATATTAACTTTTTTTGTTAAGAATCCTTTTCATTTAGAACTACTATAGCTAAGATTGATTCAAGATGATAAATTCAATTTAGTTATTTGATCTATTCATAACTTGGTTTTAATCCAAAAAAGGTAAATTATGTATTTATTATGGAATTCTTTCAAATTCTAAATTAGGAATCAAATCAATATAACTAGGAGGAAATAATTCTTGATATTCCTTTTGAAAGCTATTTTAGTTGTTAATAAGATTTTATAGTTAATTAGTATATACAGATAATTAGGTTTGTTATAATTCTGTTTGTAGCTATTATTACTCTTCAATAATACAAGAGAATTTCTCAGTATTTTTTTGCTTATTTTAATTTATTTACTTTAATAAGTCCCTCATTTTCTTTTCTTTTTGATTTTAATTAATATTTTGATTTAACACTACATTTTTTATCTCTTTTATTTAAACAATTTCACTATAGATATTTGCTGATTTATTCTCTAAACTTCTTAATTTTTCAGCTAAATTGTGTGCTTTTTTCTTTGCATCTGTAACTATTCCGACTAAAATTCTTTGTAGCTAATCATAAAATTGATCAATTTTTTTTCCTAAAGATCTATTTGCATTTTAACTCAGAGTTTTTTTAACTTATTTTAAAAAGTTGGCATCATTATTAAAAGGGAAGAAATTGATAATATAGCATTCTTGACTCCAATCAATAATTTGTTTTATATCTGCACAATCCAACATGCTAATATTTGTATTGGAAAGTGGGCACTAGCGACAATAAAAAATGTCTTCATCATCTTGAATGTTGTTTATTTTTATGTATACTATATCATTCTATTTATGCTTCTGGCAATAAAATCCTAGCTCTTAAGATTTAATCATTATTTTTTGCTTCTCCTTTAATTAAAACACTAAATTGCAAATTAATTTAAATTATTTAGTAATTCTAAATACTATTTAAGTTATTTAATGTAAAATATATATTTCAAATCAAATATATTATAAACCCTTTAGTTGAAGTATCTTTTTTCTTATTCATCAATAAATACTTGATTTAAAAACTTTAAATCAGATGAGAAATGAGTAAAAGATAATATCTATAAATAAATTAAATATAATATACAAATATTTCATTTTAGAGATAGATCCGATAAATAATTGCTTTTTATTATTATTCTTTTAAAACATTTCATGTTTTTTATTATTCTCAAGCTATTTCTGTAGAAATTTAAATTTATAGAAATTAAAATTTATTATATATAAATAATGCAATTTATCTATCAACCCTCTCTATTGTGGTATAAATTATGCATATTGATAATTTTTTTAAATTCTTAGATTCCTAATAAAAAAACTTTTTAATTTATTCTATTAAGCATATCAATTTATTTTTATATTTAAAAAAATTTTTATAAATATAAAAATGTTAACCAATTTTTAGTTTTTTTAAGAATATATGCTTTTATTTATAAAATGTTTAACATTTAAAATCTATATAAAATATAAAAAATACATTTTTAAAATATCATTTTTTCAACAAATCATAAAAGAAGAATATAGCCTTCAAATTAAATTTGTTTATTGCTTATTTATGAATTTAGTTCTTGGAAGAACTATATGTTCATTTATAAACAATTTAATATACCTTTTCAGCACATTAATATATTTCTGGAGATTCTTTATCAAAAAGATGATATGAATCTATAACACTTGATTGTAATTTACTTTCTTGAGAAATCGAATCTATTCCATAAATATAATACTTAGCACTGAGATTATTGATGAAGTCATTCCAATTTTTGCTTGATAATAAATCGATACATCCATAATAATTAATTGTGACTGAAGGATTTTCACTGCTTTTAAATGCCTGATTAATTTGCTTAAGACCATTTTTAGCAATATATGATTTGTAAATTTAAATAGCTTCTTCTTAATCATATTTTGAATTTGTTTATATGGTTAAATTAACCTTTTGATAGCTACCTAATGTTAATTTATCAAAGGCATATTATCCTATGCTACTAACAGCTGATAACCAGCATTTATTATCTAGATTATAGCTTGTGTCACATTTGTTTAAATCAGGAACTATTTACTCTATTGTTGTCATATTAACGCGGAATTAACTCTTATCAACATAAATATTAAGAGCTCTTCTTTAGAATTCATGAACAATATTTATTTAGTATTTATATTACTTCTCGTTTTTAAGATTAGGGGTTATATTTGAAGTAATTTTTTCCAAATCGGCAAAATTAGCTTTTTCCACCTCAATGAAGTCAGGTACTATCATTCCATTTAGGAAATCGTATGTTTTCTATTATTCACAGCAATAGTTAATATTGTATGTCAAAAACCAATTTTGTAATTCTTTATAGTTTAAACCACCATATTTATAGTTTATACCTAAAATAGCACCAGGTATGACTTAATCAATAATATCTGAGCAATGTAATTTGCATTATGAAACATCCTCAAATTAGTTAAAACCTCTGATGTTAACAAAAGCAAGACATTAAATCGCTAAAAGCAGAGTTAAGGTAATGATGTAAATCACTTATTTTGCCATAAATTTTATTTTTAAAGTAAATAATTTAAAATAAATTATTAAATAAACATTTCTTAAGTCTGGATATTTAATAGTTAATATAGGTTTCTGATCATAAATCTTTTATAAAAAATGATAAGAATTCCTATTACTTTTTTATTTTCCCTCTTTTAGTTGAATTTAATCTTGATAAATGGCTGATCAGAAATCTTAAATTTAGCCTATTCTGACCTTCACTATTCTAAATTTGATAATAAAATTGATGAAATTATTTTATTTTTTTGATTGATTAAAAACTTATTAAACAAAATTTATTTTTGTAAGTCATAAATTTGTTAAAAAATTTATTAATTAAATTAGAAAATCTTATTTGTATATTTTATTTCTTGTAACTTAAAGCCAAAAAAAAGAAAATGTATGTATAAAAATGATTTATTTTCATATTTAATTTAGAATTAAAATAATGTGCAATTAAAATGAATTATTCTTTTATTAATTGTAATCATATCATCGACCTATGTATATTAATCAGTTTTGTTTGAACAATTTTTATTTCCATGAAGAACTCATATTAAATATTTTAATTGATTTTCAATCAAATTTTAAAGATATTGAAAATTAATTAAAAATACTATTTATTAGAATTAAATATTTTCGTTCCAAAGAAAAATAAACTATTACTTTAATAATATAAAAAACTGAATACATATCAAATTATTTTATTTCTTAAAAGTTTTATTAATTTAATAATTTTTTAAAAAGAGATTAAATAAAGACAAAGTTTGTAGTAAGAAATGTAAAAACTTTAGTAAAAGTTGCAAAAATAGTAGTTAATATACTATCAAAAGGAGCATGTAACATTTTAAATAATAAAATTAATATGACAAAAAAATTATTAGAAAAAAGATCTATTTAAAAATAACTGAATAAAGACTATCAACACCTAATTAAAGATAAGTTTTTTATTGGTAAAGATACTAAATATTAATGTGAATATGTAAGAAGAGTGTTCTTTTGATCAAGCTTCTATTGGTTGTGGTGGTTTAGGAAAACTAAAAAAATGTGTAGAGAAATAAATATTGAATCTTATTAACTTAGAGGAGCGAGTGGAGCTATTGATAAGACCTTTTAGTTACTAAAAAACTTCGAATAATATTACTTAAAGCTTTTTTAACAAAACTACATAGAATCCAGTTCATAGAACGTAATAAATAGGCAGCCTTATTTATAAATAATTTGAAATAATTTATGCAAAATAAATTACATTTTTCTATCCATTTCTTTAATAAAAGTTGAAGGTGATAAAGTAGTAGACTTTGTTAAAAGGTAAAGTTCTTTGATATTACCAAGTGTAAATTTCATTTAAAATATTAAATCTTTTGAAATAGACTCAATTAAACCTATTCCTTTTATTAATAATTTCTAATGATATTACAATACCAATCAATCAATCAAGAAAGCTTAATATTTATTTACATAAAGAATTTTATTGATTTACATAAAAGCTGCCAAAATAATTGTAAATTCATGAATTAATCTTTTAAAAATTGCCATTCCAACAACATATTTATATAAGAATGTATAAAAAATATGTATATTATTGCAAACTTATGATAAGCTGACTTCTTTCATATCATAAATTAATAATTTAATAAATGAAAAAATGTTCCTAACGTGTAATTTAAATCGGCGATAAATAGCTATATTAAAAATTACTCATCATTTGATGTTGCATAAGGAGTTGAAAAATTTATAAGTCCTTTTGAAATCATAAATAATCAATGAGAATATTATGTAAAATAACAATTTTAAACTATTTTGTAGGAGATTCATCAGCTAATATGCTTTTAATTATTTTTAACAAATATAAAAGGGATTACTCAAATTAAAATGAGCTCTCTGCTGATTGATTTGTTTGGTTGAAGAATAACACCAAATAAAAATTTGGTTTAAAATTTTTATGGATAAATGTTTCGCTGCTATTTCAAAATACTTCCGAAAATACTATAATAGGAGCAATATGTAGTGAATTAAAACCTATAGAAACCGCATAATTCAATATTGAAGCATTTTGTGAGGATTTGAGCTTAATATCACCAAGAAATATATGCTATTATGATTTATCTACAATAAAGTTAAAAAAATTAGAAGGAAAACATTTTAAGTAAAGACATGGAAGATGATATCTTTATACTTTAGCTTAATTAAATATATAAAGATATGTTGTATATTAAATAAAAAATATTGATTTTTATTATATTTTGTTAATAAATAAATACAAATTTCTTAAATCTAAAATATCTTAATTATTAATACATGCTCTATAACAGATTTCATATTCATCAGAAATGAAATTTATTATTGAAGAGATTCATTATTTTTGTTATGAAGCATTAAAAATAAACATTACAGAAATATTAATAAATTAAATTATAAATTTGTTTTTGCAATTAATTTATAGATTTTTTCATAGGTTTTAAACCATGTTGAAAATGAAAATTAATTTTGTACTAAATTGAAATCTTATTAGAAATGATTAGAATAGCACAAGTTTTAAAGTACAGAATTAAAAGTAAGTAAAAAAATTAAAAGAAATTTTAATGTGTTTTAAAAGCAAATAATAAATCCTATTTATATCAATTAAATATGCAAAAATTATTAATTTAAACTCGTGTGCGTGCGTATTTGGTTTTGTTTAGTTAATTTTGCTTTGTTTATCTTCTTTACTTTCTAATTTTACTTTGAACACCAAAAATATCTTTCTTTGTTAGTAATTAAAAACAACGAAATTAAAAAATAGTACTACTTAGATTTTAAATGTCTATATGGTGATATTCAATTTAGGATTTTTATTTTCTTTTTTTAAAATATTTCTATTTTTAAGTATTTATTTATTCTATTTCTCACGATTTACTTGTACGCTTAATTCTTTGTTGTTATTTCTTTCTTGCTTTAGTTTGGCTATTGAGTCTTCTAAGTTGATTACTTTATTTAATACGAAGACTGATTGCAATCTAAAAATTGAAAAATGCGCACTTGTGAAAGCAAAATCAGATTAGATAGCTATTATGATTGCTTTTTTTATTAATTATAATGACTTGCCTAAAATAAACTAATATAATTTAAAAACGTTTTGAATTAATCGATATAAGAGGATAATAGGCTTTTATATGATTTATATTTGTTTTAAAAAGGTTTTTATTAAGATTCAGCTAAAGCTATATATGAATAGAGCCAATATTGAGATAAAAACTATAGATATCTTCAATGATATTAGAGCAAATATGGAATACTTTAACTTTTAAAATTTAAGAAAAAATTTTATTTAGGTTTAAAAAATATATATAAAGTATTTGATTTTTCAAATTTGACGTAAAAAACTAGCAAACATAGCTTAGTTTGTAGCAATTAAAGTTAGAACATGTGGAGTTGATGAAATTATATGTGCGTAGTAATTAATGTTTTGAATTTAATGAAATTAGAAATTTGTATTTAGCTGCGTTGTTGGACTAATAAGAAAATAACAAATATGCATGATCAAAATTATTTTGGATGCGCATCAATATTTATTTCAAATTTGGAATTAATTAATTAAAATTTTTGATTAAGATTTCAAAAGAAGTGCGCACTTGATTCGTTGGTTAATAATCTTAACATTATTTTGAACGCATTTAATTTTAAAACTATGATGGTTAATTACCAGCTTTAAAAATAGCTCTAATAGGATGAATAAGTCTTATCATAATTAAATAAATTAAAAAAATTTTTAAATACCAACAACTTAAACATAATTAAAAAAAAAATTAAAAAAAATCTTTAAAATGCAAGTCAACTCCAATAACGTTACCTACGAAAACGGCTTCATCCAAGCTTCCTACTAATACAAGTCCTCCAATGTTGAAAAGCTTGAAAATGGTACCTTGAAGGTTACTCCTAAGACCACTGAATACACCTTCAAGACCAACACTAAGGTTCCTAAATTAGGTATCATGCTCGTCGGTTGGGGTGGTAATAACGGTACTACCTTCACTGCTGGTCTCCTTGCCAACAAGATGAAGCTCTCCTGGTTCACAAAGAGAGGTGAATAAACTGCCAACTACTACGGTTCTATCACCTAAGCTTCTACCATTAAGGTTGGTTGCTCTGGTTCTGAAGAAGTTTATCTTCCCATGAACTAAGTCCTCCCCCTTGTTAACCCTGATGATGTCGTCATTGGTGGTTGGGATATCTCTGCCTTAAACTTATCTCAAGCCATGAAGAGAGCTTAAGTCTTAGAATACAACCTCATTGAAAAGTTAGACCCCTATATGAGAGATATGGTCCCCAAGAAGGCTATCTACTATGAAGATTTCATCGCTGCCAACCAAAAGACCAGAGCTGACAACATCTTAGAAGGTCACAACAAGCTTGAACACTTGGAAACCATCAGAAAGGACATCCGTGAATTCAAGGCTGCCAACAACTGCGATAAGGTTATTGTTCTTTGGACTGCTAACACTGAACGTTTCTGCTAACTCACTCCTGGTGTTCATGACACTGCTGAAAATGTCCTTAAGGCTATTGAAAACTCTGAAGCTGAAATCTCTGCTTCTACTGTTTATGCCGTCGCCACCATCTTAGAAGGATGCAGCTATATTAATGGTTCTCCTCAAAATACTCTCGTTCCTGGTGTTATTGAACTTGCCAAGCAAAAGGATGTCTTCATTGTTGGTGATGACTTCAAGTCTGGTTAAACCAAGATTAAGACCTCTTTGGTTGATTTCCTCGTCAGTGCTGGTATCAAGCCCCAATCCATCGTTTCCTACAATCACTTGGGTAACAATGATGGTAAGAATCTTTCTTCTGAAAAGTAATTCAAGTCAAAGGAACTCTCCAAGAAATCATGCGTTGATGATATCACCGGTTCCAACAAGATCCTCTACCCTGAAACCAATAAAATCGATCACGAAATCGTCATTAAGTATGTTCCTTACACTGGTGACTCTAAGAAGGCTATGGATGAATACCTCAGTGAAATCTTCCTTGGTGGTCAACACACCCTCGTTCTTTACAACGTTTGTGAAGATTCTCTCCTTGCTGCTCCCATTATTCTTGATTTAATCCTCATCACTGAATTATTTGAAAGAATCGAATACAAGGTTGATGGTATGAGAACCTTCCAAAGATTCAACAGAGTCTTATCCACTTTAGGTTATCTCTGCAAGGCTCCCTTGACTGATGAAAACACTCCTCTTGTCAATTCCCTTTACAGATAAAAGAGTGCTCTTGATAACATCTTCAAGGCTTGTGCTGGTCTCCACGCTGATGATAACTTACTCCTCGAATTCAAGTGCCCCGTCACTGAAGAGTGAAATACACATTTTTGATCCTGATTTTAATAAATTTTCTCATTCTTATTCTGGTTGATGGAGTAGATGTACTATTTCATTGACTTTTGTTAAACCAAACAAACAAACAAATAAATAAAAATTAAATAATTTATATAAACAACAACTAATTATTTGTAATTCCTATCTATATTTCAATAATTATTTTAATTAATATTCTAATTTTGCAAATAATCTTTCAATATCATTTTTTATTAATCAATATTAATCTCAAAAAATATATCGAAATCCCTCCCTAAACAAAAGGCTGGCCAACCAATTTACAATTGATTAAATTATCGAGGTTATACAAATTCCTTAATTTTAGGAAAATAAAACCTCATTTAAAATAAAACATTAATTTCAATTATTAATACATTTAATAGAGGCATGTATGATATTAAAGCTTCGAATTTCTGTAAATTAAAAAAGCACTTGGTTTTTATTAGCTATTATTGAAAACCTAGGTTATTATAGTTGAAAACCGAATGCTGAGCATATAGGAATTTATTAATTATTTATTTAACGAAATTCTATTTCTAAAATTTTTCTTATTTAATTAAGTTACTAAAATTATGATATAATATAAAAATAATCATAAATCTAACTCTTTATATTTTAGATTAAATTATTCTATTACAAAATATTATGATATGAAACATAAATAAAATAATGTAGTTTATATTCTAATATTCAAATATTTTTATATTTATTAATCCTATTTTAATCATTTATTTATTATCATAAATGTTTATAGGCAACTAATCTTTTTGGTTTAAGATATTTGGTTTTAAGTTTGAATTTTTCGAAACTACTGATTTTGTTAAAGCTATCAATATAAATGAAAGTAAATTATAAATCAAAATTAAATAGAATAATAAGGATAAATTAAAAAATATAAGAATCGAAAAAAATAAACAGTTTTTACTAGAGATCAATTTCCAAATTTTTGAGATTAGTGCACTTTGCTAAAGCAGAACTTAAGTCTACTGCTCCTTTATAACTAATATTATTTCCACTTTTAAATATTAAAGAAACTATAATTAATTAGTTATTATGAGGAAAAAATATAAAACAATAATATAGAAATGAATAAATTATTAAACTAAAAATTTAAAATAAAAATTATTTAAATTAAGAAAGAAAAAAAAAATACACAACAATAAAAAATCAAACTAAAAGTAAATAATTAAATTAATGGAATTTGATTGTTTTAAATTCAATTTTAAATTAAAATTTTCACAATTCAAAGCAAATAATATATTTTTACCTAATATTAAGTATCAAATTTGAGAGGTTAGTGCACTTTCCTAAACCAAAACCTAAGCCTGATACACCAACATCACCAATATTATTGGAACTTTTTAAATATTGAATTAAAATTAAAGAAAAAAAAGAGAAATAATAAGAAATGAATTAATAATGAGAGCAAAAGTAGAAATTAAAAAGCTAGTTTAAATTAATTAAGAAGAAAAAAACAAAATTAGAATTAGAATAAATAAAATAAGATGTTAATAAATAAATTAATCAATAATTAATTTAAAAGGGTTTTATTATTTTAAATTGATTCTTATATTAAAAATAACATTAATCCAAAATAAATAAACTGCTTTTACTAGATATAAAGTACCATATTTGATATATTAGTGCAGTTTACTAAGGCAGTACCAAAACCTGATGCCCCAATTTCGCCAATTTAATTGGTACTTTTTAAATATGGGGAAAAAAATTTAATTAGTTAGTTAGTAAAAGGGAAAATGAAGAAAAAATATGTTTTTATAAGAAATGAGTAAATAATCAAAGCAAAAGTTTAAAAATAAAAAATTATTTATATTAAAATATAAAAAAAAATGAAATCAAAATAAAAAAGTAAAATAAATCAAATAAACAACTAATATATTAATTATGAAGTTTTATTGTTTTAAATACATTTTTATATTAAAAAGTATCACTGTCCAAAATAAATAAAATGTTTTTACGAAATATCAAGTATCAAATTTGAGAGATTAGCACACTTACCTAAACCAGAACCTAAACCTAATACACCTTCATCGCCAATATAATTCTAGCTTTTTGAATATAGAAGAAGAAAAATATATATAATTAGTTAGTTGATAGGAAAAAATCACAAAAAAATGAAATAAATAGTAAAAAATTAATTAACAATAAAAGCAAAAATTGAAAAATAAAAAATTTCTTAAATTAGCAAAGAAAAAATATAAACAATCATAATAAAAAAGAAAGCAAAATATATCAAATAAAAAAGATAGCAAGCAAATATATATAAAGAGTTTTAATTTTTTTAAATTCATTCTTATATTAGAAAATATCACATACAAAATGAAAAGTGTTTTTACCAAAGATTAAGTGTCAAATTTGTGAGATTAGTGCACTTTGCTAAATTAAAACCTAAGTCTGATGCCCCATTTGTACCAATTAAATTGTAACTTTTTAAATATTGAAGAAAACACAATTCATTAATTTGCTTTTTGAAGAAAAAAATGAAGAAAATATATGAATTAATCAGAAATTAACTAATAACCATAGCAAAAGTTGAAAATAAAAAAATTAAATATATTAAATTAAATTAAGAAAGATGAAAAAAATAAACAGAATAAAAAACCAAAATTAATCTAATATAAAGCTAATAAATAAATAAATTTAAAGAATCTTATTTTTTTAAAATTAATTTTTCTATTTAAAAAATAACAACCCTAAACTAATAATATGTTTTTACCTGAATTCAAGTTTTAAATTTGAGAGATTAATTATATTTCCTAAAGCAGAACTGATGCCAGATACACCTTTTTAACTTATTTAATTGTCCCTTTCAAATATTGAAGAAAATATAAATAATTGATTAGGTTGTTAAAGGAAAAAATGAAGAAAAAATGTCAAATAATAATAAATGAATTATCAAATTAAAGTTGAAAAAGAAAAAATGAGTTAAATTTAGAAGAAAAAAAACATGATCAAGGTAAAAAGCAAAATAAATCAAATCAAAAGTTAATAATTAAATTTAAAAAATTTTATAGTTTTAAACTCATTTTTTAATAAAAAAATACCACAATCCAAAACAAATAAACTGATTTTACATAAATTCAAGTGTTAAACTTGAGAGACTAGTGCAATTTACTAAAAACAAACCAAAACATATTGCTTCTTCATCACCAATTTTATTTCCACTATTTAAATATTGAAAAAAAAATATTTTATAAATTAGTTTATTATTTATTTAATTAATCAACATTTTGGGATGGGGGAATATTTTTAAAATTATAAAATCTAAAAGAGATTAAATAAAATCAACTAAATTAATATATTTTAATATTATATTTAGAAATATTATAAATATTTATCTCTCCTTAAATTACTACTACATGAATTTAAAATTAATAGATTGAAAAAAAAAAAATCATCAATATCAAAAATTATTTATTGAATTTAATAAATTTTTGTTCCTTAAACTATCAACTGATATTTTTACAGTAAGTGATTTTAAAAAATTTTACTTTAGAAGAATTAAAAAATTTGAGAGATTAGTGCAGTTTCCTAAACCAGAACCTAAACCATATAAACCAATTGTACTAATTTAATTTCCACTTTATAAATATGGAAGAAAATATAATAAATTAATTAGTTAGTTAATAGGAAAAAATGAAAAAAACATGAGATAATTTAATAATAAAATCAAAAGTTGAAAAAGAAAAATGGATTAAATTAAGAAAGGAAGAAAGAAAAAAACACAATCAAAATAAAGCTAACTAAATTAAAGAGTTTGTTTTTTTGATTTAATTTCATTTTTTTTTAAAAAACAAATATCATTTTCCAAAATAAAAGAGTTTTTTTACGAGAGATAAAGCTCCAAATTTATGAGATTAGTGCATTTTCTTAAAGCAGAACCTAATCCTAATACACTTTCATCACTAATTTAATTTTCACTTTTTAAATATAGAAGAAAATAAAATTAATTAATTAGTTAGTTAGTTATAAGGTAAATTAGAAGAAAAAATATAAAGTAATTAAAAAAATAGATTAACAATCAAAGTAAAATTTAAAAATTAGAAAAAGTCAAAATTAATAAAAATATATTGCATTAATAAAAATGAATTTAGAGATGAAAAGTTATTAGAAAAATAATATTTTTAAAACTAAGTAAAAAAAAGATTAATAACGATAAAAATAAATTTAACTTACTCAAGATGAATATGGAGAACTGTATGAGATTAAAGAGAAGAGTTTAAAAACTTTATTATTTGTAAGAATGAAGTTTATAAATATTGATAGATAAATAAATAAATACATCTTCTATTTTCCTATATTATTTTTTCTATTATATCATTTTTTTATCTTACAAAATAGATAAGTAAATTATTGGAAATTTAATTAATTTTAAATATATTAAGAAATTTATTTAATTTTTTTAGAGTTTATTTCAATAAAAATTACAAATAATTATATCAATTCATAAAACTAGCTTTTAGAAAAAGATAAAACAAATAATTTGGTCCACCTATTCTTTAGTAAATCTTGATAGTACTTGTTAAATTTTATATTTAATAATATAGTAAGAATCATAAATGGCTATCTATTGATTGAAAAATTCATATAATTGAGTACTAAAATTTTGAAAATTTATTTAAATTATTAAAAACCAAATACAAATTACATGTAAATATATAAAAGACTATTATATAAATTTATTTAATATTATATTAATTTCTATTAGAAATATAAAAAAATAGTTATAGGTGTAACCTATCACTATTTATCTCTTTTACAAAAAAAAAAAAAATCTGCAATTAGCAATATTCATATTTAATAGCTTCTTCTAGTAGTTAGTAGTGTAGCAACAAATATTCAACTCCTTTTATACAATTTGATTCAACAAAAAATATTAGTGACCCTCAAGGTACAAGAAATGTTTAATTGTATTGATGCTTTTATATCTTAAATAGGTCAAAAAACATATAATATATGATATATTTTAAAATTAAAAGATTTAGTATGAAAGCCTTTTTTGTTGAAAAAATTTTATTATAATCTTAAAAGTGTAAAATTTTGCAAAAAGGGTTTTGCAAAAGAAAACTTAATTAGAATTTTTTGGAAATTTCTTTTAAGCAAAGATATTAAAATATTGTTTATGTATAATTAGTGAGAAAATAAGCATAGTAAATTAATTTAAAAGAAATATGTAGATAAATAAACAAACAAATTTATTTATTATTTTTGTTTGAATTATTCAATAAATAGGCATTTTTATTTTTAATAAATTCTTTTAGGAGCACAATGAATAATTGTTTACTATAAATAATGATAGATAGTTAAAAATGAATTCCCTAATATGATAAAGAAATATTATATTTTTATTGATATTAGAATAGATTGATTGTTTTATTTAGTGAGTAAGTTAGTTGGTTTTTTTTGTTATTTTTTTTTTATGAATCAATTAATCAATGAATGATTGTAAATTTATTTTTTGTATAAAGATATTTTATCTTTTCTTAGTAAGGTTTTCATCTTGGTATATATTCATTAACGTTAATGATTGGAAAACTACCTGAACTCTCTAAAGTATGGAATTTAAAAATGTATTGCTATCCTACTTAGAGAGTGTTGTGTTGCAAGGAATATGATTATTTCAAAATAGCATGTATCATCTAAGAAGGTTTCAGTGTATAAGAAATATATTAAGGATTTATTCTTTCTACAGAAACTATTTCAGCTATTACTGTCTGAAAAGGCTTCAAGCTCACGTTTTCAATCTTGACTGTAATGATGCTTTATTCACCATCTATGTTTTTTATAAACTTTTCTTTTTGGTAATAGTCTTCTCTTGAATTACTTTTGTAATTACTTCCATTATTACAAACGTCTGAATTTCTATTAAAGACGTTGTTGACAGGCAAACTACTACGCTTTATTCCGCTATCAAATAATTGTTTTTAAGGGCTTTGAGCAACTGATTTTCTGTCACTTAAATTAGCTTGATTATTTAACAAGCTGTTTCCAAAGTTAGCAGCCGCATTTATGTGATACTGTAAGCTATTGTTGCTAGTAAATTTATTTTGAAAATCTGTAGTTTGTCCTCCTATTTTCAAGTTGGACAATTTATTATTGTTTCTTATTAAGTTTTGTTAGCTTGCATTTGATTGTTGATTTGTATCTTATGCTGAAATGCTTTTAAAGAATGGATTTATTTTTCTTTCAAAAAATTTGTTTTTATTTTATTCTTCTTCGATATCTGACTCAGCCGACATAGATTGAGAGCTGTTTTTGATAGTTTTTTTAATAGACACACTTTGAATGGATGAGTCTAAAAGTTATTAGTTATACTCATTACTATTAATATTCTATTAGTTTTAATTCTTTGGCTATATGCAAGGACTAAGATCAGAAGTATCGTTTTATTCTTGACTACGCTATTATTGTTATTATTATTGTCTAAATTGATTATACAAATTTGGTCTCTATTAAAATTAATAAAGATTATTTTAATATACTTAATTATTATTTTGAATATTTTAATGATTCATATACTGCTAAGTAAAAGTTTCATTTTCATCCTCTAAGTCGTCATCTAATTCTTATTAGCTTGAAGAAGAGGATTTGTTCACACTATAAAATGGTTTGTTTTTTTTCTAAAGATTAATTTATAAGTTACTAGATAAAGATTGATTCGAAGATCCTAGGACTCTGCTTTTGTTGCGTTTTTTATTCTTTTTGTTTTACACGCATGTTGCCCCAACCTAATAGCTAGATTTTTATGTATTTTTATTCACATTATTATTATTATTTTATGTTTGCATCCCAACTTGTTAATTCTTCAGTAGCATTTAAGTTGAAGGTTATTGCGCTGCTACTTTTTGTTGAGGGTTTTCTGGGATAGGAGAGATTTTAGATTTGTTTTATTATTTGTACTTCTCTTAGAATTCTTAATCTGAAGAAGAACTATCATTTGAAACATTTATATTTATATTTCTATTTACGATATTAGGTGTATTGATTATATTGCTAAAGGTGTTTTTACTATAAGTATTTTAATAGTTTGTATTGTAATTAGTGGATATATTATTTGTTTCAATGAAATCATTAGCTTTCAATTGAGGATGACTATTTAGAGTTTGACTGACTAGTTGCTGCTACTTTTGCTTAATATAAGGGCTTTAGGAATTTTACATTTGTAAATTTTACTGCCCTCCATTTTATATGCGCGATTATTAAAGATGATTAACTTTAGTTGTTATAAATTTTGAATCATCATCACTGCTTTCAGAGTTATTGGTGTAGTTATTTTAAGGAGGATTTCTTTGAGCTGAATTACCGTTGTTATTATTACCGCTAGAAATATTACCACAGTCGCTTTTGTTGTTAGCTTTTATCTACTCATTCATTTCTTATTCTTTTAATTTAGAAATTTAATCAAGTTAATCTCTAATACGATTAGCAAAAGCACGCTTTTTTGGTTTTTTTTTGGCTTGGTTATTTGTATGATGCTCAGGAGCGCCAAATGCATTAAAGTAAACCCCCTTCATAATGAACTAGTCATCTGGAGCTTCATCTGCTTCCTTAAAATTAAATTCTTGGCTGAATGCTGCTGATGTTTATTTTTCCATATTGCCAAAGACTATATTTATAATATCAAAATGAATCAAATAGTTTCTAATCTATATTTATTATTTCTTGTATCAAAAAGTGTTTATAAGATCAGTGCTATTAATTCCCAAGTCACTCAACAAAAAGTAGACGTTTTAGAGCGCTATTGTATATCTGATATAAAAAGTGTATAAAATTTAATTAGAATTTATGTTATTGCTTGCTTGCTTTTCTTATTGTTAGTTAGTATAATTTTAATTATTATATGAATATTATCTCTGTATTATTTGATGCATTTAAGTGTTAATAAATATCTAAACTCTATTAAAAAATATATGAATGAATCTTTTGCTAAACAAAAAATTGAATCAAGAGCATATAATTAGTTTTTATCATTTTTTTATTATTAATTTTAATGATTCCAGCTAAAATTGCCTTTTATTGTTACTTTTTTATTTTTTATAAGCACATTCTCGCGCAATATGAGGATTTAAAAAATCAAATTTTTGAATTTTTTACCTATTTGGGCTCCAATCTTGTCAGAATTATTGGGCTTTCAAACATTTCCTTTATTAGCAAAATATTTTCATTCATTTTTATAAATAAATTATTATATTTAATTTTATCATCTTTATTTATTACTCATTTATCTAAAAATACTATAAAAATTTATAATTCCTATTATTTTTTAAGGTAAAACAGAGTGTTCTCTCAATTATTAAAATTTTCTCATTAATATCAAATTAATTTCTTTTTGAGATCAGAAAATTAATTAAAATATAAAAATATTTTTATATTTTGAATATGTTGACTGTCTATTTTAATTTATAATTAATCATGTAATTTTTTAATCATTTATATTGAATTTTTAAAATTTCTTTGGAAAAATTTTACAATTTTTTTTGAGATAAAATATATTGGGAAAAAACAAAAATTATTTGTCTAAATTACAGCTATAGGAAATAAATAGAAATAAGATATTGTATTAAAATTGGCTAAGGATGTGAATGACAACTTTTTTATATTATTAGGCCAAAATGATTTATGTTTTTTCCCTGTTTTATAGAAAGTAAATAGATAATAACTTTAAATTATTAAGAAATTAGAGATAATACTTGATGTCTATTCATAAAAATATTCAGATAAATAATATAAAGTTTTAAATCTACGACATTAATTGTTTGTATAAAGCTATTTTAGGAAATTTAAATAGTTAATTAATATAGAAGATGAAATTTATTTTTGATAAATTTATATTTTATTACTTGTCATTATTTTTTTAATTATTTTAGAATAAAATTGCTTTTGAAAAATTTATAAATGGTTTTATTAGCATTTTCTAAGTTTAAATATTTTATTGAGCTTAGATATGAAATAAAGCCTGCAAACTAATTTAAGAGCAGAAAGTCAATTGAAAAAGTGATTAAATATATGATACTCCAAGATTTATCATTATTATAGTTTAACTAATTTATTTAAGGTATAAACCATAGCCAAAAATATAAGCCTATAGATGTAAAGAGTATTAACTAAAAAATAGTATGAGCATATCTTAAATGTTAAAGCAGGTATTTCAAAATTGTTTCCAGCACAGACTTAGATGAAAATCCAGAGGCTAAGCAAATTAATGAATAATAGTAGTTTTCCTAAAATATTTATTAACATTTTAACTCATTTTAAATGGAAAATTTAATATTTACGTTTTTAAAATATTGGCAGACCAAAAAAAATATTTGATATTTAAAATAAATTAGAGTTCCTCTTAATACTCTACTGAAAGTGTTATCATAATAAATAAATAGATTGATCCATTCATTGCATAACTAATTTTTTTATTAATAAATACTTAAGTCATATTTCATTAATAAATATTACAAATGAGTATTTTAGCTTTTCATTAGCTGAGTATTTATTCTAGTTTGTATCATTTAATTGAGAAAATAAATTCCTTTTTGTTGGAGAGTGTGATATTGATACTAAGGACCTATTAGCTGTTGTTTAATCCTAAGGAAAGAATTTTTAGTCTTTGTCTAAGATTGTAGATTTCATATTATTCAAGTTAGATATAGTTTATTATCCTTTTTAAGGAGAATTTGAAATGCTACCTCTTAAAATAAAATCAATCTTGCGTGATCTTCTTTTTCGCCCTATTTCTTATGGACTTTTGTCTTCTTCATTTTGCTCATTGTTGAAAGTAAGGTAATTTTTACTTTACATTAAATTGTTATTTGTTTATGGAAGAACCATAATAGAACCCCTCTAGTTAATTGGAATATTTGGAGATTTACTTCCTTAATCAGCATTAAAATCTTCTATTTTTGAATGTGGTGATAAGTTAGGGTCATTTTGTTAAAACTCAATTAAAGATAAGTTTTTATCTTTTTAGTTAAGTTAATTATTATTTATATGATCCTATTCATTCTCCTTTAGATTCTTTAAAGGAGCAACTTTTTGTAAAGGTAAAATTTGTTAGGCATTATCCTTAAGAAACCCTACAATTATTGATATAACCCAAATAAAAGACTTGGAAATTAAAATGTAAACTATAATTTGGTATATTGGTTTAATTTCATTACAATCTTCTTTTGTTGGCCCACTACAACCTGAACTGCAATAAAAATTGCATTCAATGCATTACTTGTATGGAGTCTAAGTCATATACATTTATTTAGGGCATTCGACAATACAGCTTGAATTGTATTTTATTAGCAAATCAAAACATGTTTAACACTTTTTTTAAAATAAATTATTCAATTAGAAATATTAGAAATTCATGAGAAATAAATCTAAACTCGAAAAAAATTATCTTTATTATTTAGCTATTTAAAATATATTATAAGTTAGTATGTATTTACTTACAAACCAATAATAAAATGACATTCTTTATATAAATTTTTTTAAATTGTTATCAATCAAAGATTGAAATTCAATATTTAAAATTTAATCTAAACTTATTTTATTTTAATTTTTGATTCTCATTAAACTTTAGTAATATTGAATAGAATATTTAAATTTTTTTTTTTGCTAATTTAAAATTTGTAGCTTTTACTTGATATATTAATTTAAATAATTTAATTACTTAATTAGAATTAGGTCCAACACAAGTCTTACAAGATGGATGACACTATGAGCATTCTTAGTTATTTTAAAAATATCCATCTGGACATTTACTAATGCATTAATTCGATATCAAAAAGGTACCTTTTAAATAAATAATTATATTTAAAGTGTTATTAAATTAAATTAATAATATTAAACCTGGTTTGCATGAAAGACAGTTGCTACTTAATTGTCCGCTGCAACTTTCACAGCTTTGATCGCAGGGAACACACTAATTACTAGATTAAGAAATAAAATAACCAGAAGGACATTAGCTTAAACACTGGTTATTGAATAGAATTAGTTATGAAATACATGAAGTACATTATGTATTTGAAGTACCTGAACATTCTTTACAACTAGAATCACATTTTTAACATTAATTAAGGAGGTTATTCTATGAATAACCATTTGGACAATTGCTGACGCATGTTCCACTAGCTTATAGTAAAAATAATGAATTTTTGCAAGATAAACATTAGTTATTATTTGGACCTGAACAGGTTGCACAAGAGGCATCACATTACTCACATAAAGCTGTATAGGAATTACCATAGTAATTTGGTTAACATTATAATTCACATGATGTTGTTGATTTTTAATAATATCTAGGAGACTAGCAATCTACACATTAATTTTTAGAACCTCCTACACAATTTAGGCAGGTGGCATCACATTATTCACAATTGTTTGTGTTTGTATTTAAATATTATCCACTTGGACAAGAACTAATGCATTTAGAAGTAGATTTTTAATAAATAAACTGTGAATTACATGTTAAGCAGTTACTACTTGTTCCACCATTACAAGTAGCACAAGTTATATCGCATTTCGAACATGTATTATTTGAGGTATTTTAGTAATATGAGTCTGGACAAGATGAAACACAAGTATTGGTATTTTAATTTAAAAATAGACTACCACTACATTTTAAGCAATTATTTGCATCAGCTCCTGAGCATGCTGCACATGAAGCATCACAGTCAGTACATGAGCCATTGTCTTTAAATTGGTTCGAATTGCAATTTTCTAAACACATTCCATTTGATTTTTAAAAATATTTAGGAAGAGAACAACTTAAACACTAGTTATTATTAGGTCCACTACATGTTTTACAATCAGTATTGCATGGACTGCATTTATTATTTGAATTATCATTGAAAGTTCCACTTGGACATTAAGTGACACATTAATTTGTTGATAAATCAAGATATTTAGAACCACTACAAGACAAGCAATTATTTTAATTTGGGCCAGAACAGGTTGCACAAGTTGAATCGCAAACTAAGCAAGTACGCTAAGGAGTAATTTAGCCATATTAATTTGAATCACATTTCTATATGCAAGTGCTAGAAGATTACTATAAAAATAAGGGATCTGAACAGGAAAGACAGTTTGTATTAAGATTTCCATTACATGTTAAGCAACTTGAATCACAAGGAGTACATTAATTATTTGCATTATTTTAAAACTCATTGGTTTTGCAGCTGTTTTTGCATTCATTTCCAGATGTGCTTAAAAATAAACTGCCAGAACAACTTAAACAGTTACTAGAAGAAGGTCCAGAACATGTAAAGCAAGATAAATCACATTTAGAGCATATATTTGTTGATCCATCAGGAAATGTTCCCTATGGGCAAATTGAAACACATTAATTAGATGATTAGTTTAAATAAAGAGAATTAGAGCATTGTATGCAATTGTTAGATGCTGGACCGTTGCATGCTAGGCAACTTGAATTACAACTTGAGCAGATATTTGATGCAGCATTTGCATATGTTTGTGGTGGGCAACTTTCAACACATGTTTTTTAATTAGCATTAAAGTAAAAAGTTGTTGAACAACTTAAGCAATCATTCGAATTTGGACCAGAACAAGTTGTACAAGTTGGATCACATACAGTACAAATATTTCCAATGGCATTTTAATAAGTACCTTGAGGACAAGTAGGATTACAACTATTTGTACTTTCATCTAGGAATAAAGTCCCAGAACAGCTTTTGCAAAATGAAGCAGATCCTTCACAAGTTGCACAAGTGGAATTACATTATGAGCAATTACTTGAAGAATCTTAATATGTACCATCTGGGCAAATAGATGTACAAGTATTATTTGATGAATCAAAATATAAAGTGCCTGAACATGAAAGACAGTTATTTGAATTTGGACCTGAACAAGAAGTACATGATGAATGACATGCAGAGCAAATATTTCCTAAAGTGACTGAAATGTTTGAATACGTTCCTATTGGACATACAGAAATACAAGTATTGTTTGCTTAATTTAAGTAAAGAGAGCCTTGACAGAAAGAGCAATTATTCTGATTAGGGCCAGAACACTTCGTGCAAGAAGAATCACAGACTGAGCAGGTATTGTTGGAGATATCAGCAAATGTTTTAATTGGGCAATTATTTGTACAAGAGTTGCTGCTTGAATCGAAATATAATGTTCCTGTGCATGATAGGCAATTATTAGACTAAGACCCATAGCAAGTGAAGCAATTCGGGTTACAGCTAGAACAGCTTCCTGAGGAACTATAAGTCCCACTCGGACAACTTGATGTGCATGTATGAGTTGTTTGATTTAATTGTAAGGAACCAGAGCAAGTAAGACAATTATTTATTAGAGGTCCAGAACAAGTAGCACAGGTAGTATGACAAGCAGAGCAAATATTTCCAGATGAATTTTAATAGGTCCCATTCGGGCAAATTGAAACACAAGTATTATTAGAAGAGTTCAAATATAAAGAATTTGAGCAAGACAGACAATTATTTGGATCTGGGCCAGAACATGTAGTGCAGCTTGAATTACATGAAGAGCATGTATTATTATTAGTATTTTGATACTTTCCTGAAGGACAATCAGCAACACAAGTATTTCCATACAAGTATAAAGATCCTGAACATGATAAGCAATTATTTAGGGTATTTCCAGAGCAAGTTTTGCATTTTGGATCGCAAGTCGAACATAAGTTTCCTGTGGAATTAGCATAATATCCATCAGGGCAGGGTGAAACACAAGAGTTAGATTATGAATTAAAAAAAAGAGAACCTTAGCAAGATAAACAATTATTAGAATTTCCTCCCGAACATGTAGCGCATTGAGGATTACATGGAGAGCATATGTTTCCAATAGAATTTGAATAAGTTCCACTTGGACAAGTAGAAACACAATTCTTAAGAGCTGAATTAAAATACAATTTTCCTGAACAAGATAGGCAGTTATTGTCAGCTGGACCTGAGCATGTAGTACAGCTTGAATTACAGTTAGAGCAAATATTTCCTTAAGAATTAGCGTAATATCCATTTGGGCAAGTAGACACACAAGTATTTGCTGTTGAGTCTAAGTAAAGCGTTCCTGAGCATGACAAGCAACTATTAGAGGCTGGTCCAGAACAAGTAGTACAATTTGAATTGCAAGAAGAGCAAATATTATTCGATGAATTTGGGTAAGTACCATCTGGGCAAGTTTTAACACATTTGGTAGCTGTAGAATCAAAATAATAAGAGCCTGAACATTTTAAGCATTAATTATTATTAGGACCTGAGCATTTAGTACATGTAATATCACAGTTAATGCATTTAAGAAGTGTATTATCTGCAAACTAATTAGAGTTACAGCTTGATACACAAGAATTCTATAATGGTTATAAGTAATTTGGAGATGAACAACTCAAACAATCAGTTGAATTAGGTCCACTACAGGTTTTGCAAGATGAATTACAAGGTAAGCATTAATTATTATTTGTCACTATTAAATATTATTTTTTATTTTTTAATAGAAAAGAAGTGAATAATTATTTAATTACCTGTTGATGAATAAGTACCAATTGGGCATTAAGAAATGCATTAACTATTATATAAATATAAACTTCCACTGCAACTTGTGCAATTATTTGCTCCTCCTAAAATATTAAAGAAATTAATGTTTAAAAAAGATAAATATCTGTAATTCTACCTGGACTAATGCAAGTATAGCAAGATTAATCACAAGTCTTACAAATTTAATCACTAGTACTTGGCCAATATGATACAGGACAAGTAGCTAAGCAAGTTAGACCATTACCTGGGTTCAAAAAATTTGGCGAATAGCAGGAAGTACAAATATTGCCTAATTTAAAATAATATTTTTTTAATAAAAAATTATAAAATGATGAATAAAGAATAAATTGCAGGTAGTTTATTATATTCTACTTTAAAATTCAAATTAATTATAAATTTCTTTTACTATTTAAAATAATCCAGTTACATAAATAAATATTTTATCCTAAAGAAGTATTTGATAAACTGTAATTATAACTAAAAATTAACAAACAAAGGATTGGCTTTTGATAAGAGTTTGAGAAAATAAATTATAAATAGCATTTAGAAAATTTTTTAATTTTTTTATGATAAATTTTCTAAATAATGTTGATTTTGAGTGCATTTATGGTATACCTGGAGAATTGCAGGTTTTGCAGTTAGAATTACAATCAACACAAGTAGTAGGGTTACTGAAGTAAGTTGAAGAAGGACAGCTAGTTACGCAAACGTTGTTATATAAAAAATATGAAGATTAACAAGCCAAACAGCCAGATGCTCCGCAGGTAATGCAATTTGAGGTACACTAAATTTATATTTATGAAATAAAATTTTTATAATTTGTATTTTTAATGAAAATTACATAATCGACAAGCACATAAAGATTACTTAAGCCAAACGATTAAGTACCTACGTTTCCTGATAAACTATTGCTAAAATTTATAGTTAGTGTAGTTGAGCTATGAGTAAAATTAGCAATTTAATTCTAAAATAAATCTAGTTAATTATTAAAACCACATAAATCTGAAGTTCCAACATTTGACCCATATGGAATTTGTTAAACAACTGATCCGTCTACTGAAAGAATAAAATTTTGATTATTCCATTAATCTATTTTCCAGAGTGTATACCCAATCCTTATCGACCAATGAGGGGCTCTTTACAATAAAAAATGTATTAAATAAAGAAATATAAATAAAAATTAATTACAATCCTGTCCAAGATCTACTAATAGTGGCTCCACTACCAGATAACCAAAATCCTCCCAAAATATGATTAGTTCCACAATTTGTTGTTAAGGCTCCACTTGAGCCAAAGCTAGACTTAAGTCCCTTAAAATTGGTAATAATTAAACCTAATCCAAGTATTTCGCTTTAGCCAAAATAATTATTGAAAAGACCACTCAAGAGATATGACCCATCTTTAGGATCAAAATAGAAAAATTATCAGTAAGCAAGTATAAATTAGTATAAAATTGATTGTAAAATAAAAGAAGTAGAAAGAATAAATTACAAATTTATTTTAATTTGTAGACTAATTGAATTTTGACCACAATTTTTTTAAATAGAAAATAATTAAAAATTGTAAGAAAGAAAAAATTACTTATTAAAGAAGCAGTAAAATCTACACAAACACCACTGCTTAAAGTGGAAGTTTATGGACAAGAAGCTACGCAATAACCTTAATAGAGATAACCAGTACTGCATGAAGTACACATTTAGCTTTATGCGTCTGATGAGGCGCAATTTTAATTATAATCTTAAATACAAATATTACTTGTCTTGCTTTTAACATAGCCTGTCGGACAAGTAGAAACACACTAGTATTAATGCTAAATATACCCACTCTTGCAAGTGCAAGTATTAGAGGATAAAGTTGAGTTTGCAGGACAAGTAAGGCATTAATTCTAATAAGATAAATTAATTAAAATAATTACATTCCAAACAATTAAATTTGAAAAAATAAATATGGAGAGCAATTCATAAAATATAAATAAATTACACTAGTAGGACCACTACATGTTGCGCAGCTAATATCACAAGTATCAATATATAAATAAAAGTTTTTGAAGCAAAATCCCTCTACATTTCTATCTTAAATTGTTTGAGAAACACCAGAAAAGGTTACTGAGCTTGAGGAATGAGTAATATTTTTTTAATATAATACTAATTCATCGTTGCAGGTACCTTATTCAGCGTTTTAAATACAAATTTTTAATCCATCATTGGGATTTTTTGTTTATGAATCTACCAAATTATTGTCAATATATATTTTAAATACATCATTTTTTGTTGAATCAACACAACCACTCAAAAGAAGATCAAATCTCACTGAAAGGCTCCAGTGAGGTGGCAATTAACTTATTGTTTTCGTTTAAGTTTAACCTTTAACAAGAACTCCAGTGTAGTATTTTTATCCGCTCCAGTCAGAAAAAAGAGTATTGCTGCAATAATAAGTTGTTGTAGGTAGAGACCATCCTGGAGTTTAGTTTGAATTAGGATTTACAAAATCAGATGAAACCAAATACTCCTCTTTATTTAATAAATGAAAAATTAGAAATCATCCAAAATGAATAATTTATACTTTAAAAACTGATATTAAATAATATTGTTAATAAGTTTAGGATTAAATAATTTAGTTTCATGTTTATGTTATATGTGTGCTATTTTGACTTTTTGATTTTTATTATTTGTTTATATTGATTTTAATTATTTTTCTTAAAATTTCTTGTTTAGTAAAATCAGTCTTTAATGCCTAGAAATTTACGAATTATGTTTTTTTAATAATTGTTTATATGATAATAAGTTAATTGTAAAATAAAATTTGATATACCTTTATTTATTATTAAAAACAAACATACGTAAAATAACTTTAGCTTATATTATTAGTTTTTTCACTATATTTCCAAAGTATTTACTGAAAAGGTTTAAGTTTCTAATTTTCAAAAAAATCTAATTTATGTAAAATAAAGTATAAAAAAATTTAAAAGGCTTTTTATCTTACTATTTGACGAAATTTATAGTTTGTTGGAAAGAATTTAATTAGCTTTTCATTATTAAATTATTATTTAATATTTAAAAATTAGTTGCATACAAAGCAGAATCTACGTCAAAATAAAAAAATTCGTACTATTCAATCTAAAAGCAGCAAAAAATCATCATTTTACCATAGATTTAAAATTGCAATTAATTCAATAATAGTTAATTTGTAATAAGTTAAAACCAAAGTATTTAGCTTTTGTGAACATGAAATATGAAAAAATTGATAGTAGTTTAATCTCTTCATATTAAACATTTTTAAGTATTAGAAATATTGAAAAAATTTATCTCAAAATATTTGAGAGGTATAGGCAAAGATAATAAAAACAAGATTGGATTTATTTTCTTCAGATAATCTGAAAATGAATATTGCAGTTATTGATAGGAAATTAATGAATAGTTATGATAGATAATTACATTAATTTATCAAATTAGTAAATTAGTGATTGTTAGTTAAGAATCGATTTTAATAAATTACCTTATAATTACAATATTTTAGTTTACAGAGGATATATTAAATACGTCATTTGTTATCAATTTAAGTGAATTCACTTTAAGTTAAAAAATAGGTATATTAAAATTTCTTTAAGATTTTGATCTAGTAAGTTAATTCTTCTCAAAATTTTTTTCAGCTAATTGAATGCTTTTATATCATTATTTTCATAATATTTAAAAATGTTTTATGGTATTTCTTGATTGATCTTAAAAATTATACTTTTATTTATTAAGTAAAAAAAGGAATAATTAGTTTAGAAATACTGGTAGCTGTTTTAAAGAAATATTTATTGAAAATAATTTTGTAAGTAAAAAAGAATTTTAATTTTAAATATTGTTTGTCAAGTGCAAAATAAAAATAGTCCATTTTTTTCTTAAAATCAATGACTTTTTTGTGATTTATGTCCTAGAATGAGATCTAAAATATGATTTGCTTTTTTAAATAAAAGATTATTGCTGACTCACTTATAGAATAAAAAAGGATAATAAATAGCTTTTATGTATCATGATTATGTAATCATAAAATTTTATTTTAATGAATATTATGATCTATTTTAACTGATATTTGCCAAATTATGCATATTAATTAAATGAATTATATGTAATTATGTCTCAAATAGATGTAATCAAATTTTTTTAATTCTAAAAAAATCTAAATAAGCAGAGAATAATAAATAGATATAAGTACAATCGCAAATGCAAATAGTGAATTCAATTGACATTCTAAGTATTTATTTGTAAAATTAAAATATTAATTACAAATTAAAGATGTTAGAGTATTGTAAAATATAAAATCAAGATCAAATGATTTGCAATTAATACTCATCCAAAATAAAAAAAATTTATTAATTAATTAATAAAATTTTTATTGGATAAAAATATGCTCATTTTATTCTTAATTAACATATTAGGTTTACTTTTATTAAAATTGAAAATTAATTAATTTTAATCAGATCATTGCTTCATGGGTATAATTATTTAAAAAAAAACAACTATTAATAATAATAAGAAAAATATAATAATCACATTACAATACTCATATTAAACCTATAAAAATATTTTTTTATAATAAAAAATTTTTGTTATTTATGTTTGGATAATTAACCTAAAGAGTATGAGCTATGAAATTAATGCTTTTAAATATTGTGGTAAATGAATATTATTGGTAGGAAAATTTTTTATTCATTCTATTTACTTAAAGAAAAATCTAAACAAAGATTTATTAAAATGTAAACTAAAAAACTCTTTAAAAATCATAAAACAATTTATACACCAAAAATCATCATTTATTAAAAAAATCCACTATCAACTTTCTTTAAAGAAAATTATAATTTATAAAAATTTAAAAATATTCTTTAAATAAATTTGTTTAGTGAGGTATTAAAGGAAATTAAGGTGGCATTAATATATGAACCATTAATATCTGCAATTATTTCTAAATGAGTACAGAAATAATTTCAAAATATAATTTGATTAATTTTCAATTAAAATGATTAAATATTTTTTAAATTTATCTTTATAAAACATCAAATTATGTAAAATAATGATAATAGCTAATGTTCTGATTGTTTTTTTAAATTTTAAAAAAGAAAGCTATTTTATTTAAATATCCTAAAATAACAGAAATTAATGTCTTATTTTATATAGTTTGTATTAATGATCTCAAATTTGTTAATTTATGCTAAATAAATTACTTGTTCACTTTCTTAAGGAATTTTTAGAAGAAAATCTACTATTAAACATTTATTTTTGTATATGTTCAAATATTTAATTAAACAAAATAGAAAATTAAAGTAACTACCTGAGGAATTAAAATATATTTATTTATGAAAATAATATTTTTCAATAGATTATTTTATTTAATTCAAATATATTTTTTTTATCAATTTATAAAATAAAACTATCCAGTTATATTTAAGTTATATTAGTTATTGAAAGTACTTTTTTTTAAGTATTTTATAAAGAAAAAAGTAACTTTCAGCTTGTAAAAATGTGATTGTTTGGAAAAAATGATTTTTAAATGAATAATAATTAATAAATTTAAATTAAAAATATCTTTTTAAAATAAAATAATTTTAAAAATGAAATATAGATTAGGATTTATGTATGGAGTATCTAGTATCTGTTTGTTTTTATTGTAATTCAATGTGTTAGTAAATATTTAGAAGACTCTCTTCTTATATATTTTTAATATTCATTAATTATTTTTATGTTTTTTTTTATTTGATTTTTTATTTATTATTCATTTAATTAGAAACACATTTTTATTTTAGATAGAATATTGAAAAAAAACAAACAATTAGATTTAAAGATCTATCTAATATTGAAAAAGTAAATCAAATGGAAGTAGAATAAGTTTAGGAATAGTCTTAAAATTAAAAAGAAATTTCAAATGAAGAACTTTAAGTCTATGATAGACAAAGGTTCATAGGAGTTGAAGTATAAAAAAGGTAATCTTTGCAAATTATCATTTAAAAAAAGTAATTTATCTAATTTATCAAGATTATTAAACGCCAAAGTTTTTATCACTCCTGCAAATGGTGTTAACACAGAATTAGCAAAAAATTTAATTCTTTGCGGTACAAATATATCAATTGCTGATAACGAGATTGTCAACTAGGATGATGTTGAAACAAATTTCCTTATTGCACCTCACGATTTAGGAAAAATAGTAATATTAAAAGAAATATCAATGCGCAATTTTTCTTATGAAAATTTATTTTGAAAATAGAGAGGTGAAGTTGTTAAAGCTAAGCTATAAGATATGAATCCAATGGTTAAAATAGACCTTTATCAAACATTTGATATTAAGTCATTTTACTAAAAATATATTCTTGAAAACAATGTTGATTGTTCTTTTACTAAAGAATTCTTCAATTAATTCAATATAATAACTTCTTCAACTCCAATCTTTAAAGAAATGGTAAGTTAAATAAATATAAAACGAAATTTTATTTAAAAATGTTATTAATTAAATAATAAGGAATTGTATGACGAAATAAGTCACTTTTTAAATATTCCTTATTACAACCAACTTTGCTGTGGTCTTTATGGTTTCTTTTATGTTTCTCTTGGCTCTCTATTCGAATTGACACAGTAATCAATTAATAAATAAATTATTTAATTAAATATCAAAGATATGCTTTTAAATTAAAGAAATAATATATCTTATTCTAACTTTAAATAAATAAAAAAATAAAAGAGCTAAACCTAAGATATAAAAGACAAAAATTGTTTAAGGAAAACTTGTCAAAGAACCTATTTTATTTGAGTATTTCCATAAAGTTAGCTTGAAATCAGAAAAATTAAAAAATTTCCTTGGAACAAATCCCAGAGGATCAAAGCCAGTATACCATGCAATTCAAAGTAAATCAACTTTTCTTTAAATTATTATAATTAAATATATTGTGTCTACTTATTTAAGTGATGAAAAGAGCAGAAGATTTAAATTTAAGATATGATCCTTACAATCACAGTGAGGAAAACTAAAAGGTTTTAGAATAAATAGTAGAGCTTGCTCAAGAAAAAATTAAAAATGAGGAAGATAGAGAATTCTATACAAATTTTGCAAAATTCTATGGAATTGAACACTGTCCAGTATACTCAGTTATTGGAAGTGTAGCAAGCCAAGAATTTATCAAAGTTATTGCCAGTAAGATTCGTTTTATAATTTATTGAATTTGAAATATTTTTTAAAATTAATGTCTATTTTATATATAAATTTAAGAGGATAAAATGCCTGCCCTTAATTGGTTTGTATATGATAGCTAAATTGGATATGGTAAAATAGAAAGCTAAACTGATAAAATAGATGCAACATATGTAGATTTACCTGAGTTAACAAGAAAAGTTGAAGAATAGCAAGAATGAAAAATCAAAAAAATAAATTTAGTTTTCAAATAATATTTAATTTTTTTTTTTGAAAATTTAATTTATGTTGAATATTTGTTAAAAAGATAGCAAGCAGTAAATTTATATTAAGTAAAATTTTTTTCTATAAAAACCAAAAATAATTTTAAATGTCTTTATTTTGTTTGCCATTATTAAATAACTCTCTCAATAGTAGAAGTTTAAATTAAAATTACTTTTAAATGAAATAAAAAGTAATATTTTTTAATAAATCAGAATATCTAACTAACTCTATTTATTTATTGTTTTTAAAAAATAGTTTCTATTTTAAATCAAACTAAACTAATTTTAAATGTTGAGCAAATTAAAAATAAATAAAATTATATTTTTCAATCAAAAAAATTCAAAGAGAAAATAAATAAATAAATAAATAAATAGAAAATCTTACTAATCATATCCTATAGATAGAATTTGATTAGTTTTAGAATAACTTCAAATATTTTTAATTATTTGTTAATATTGAGATAAAAAATTTTATTAATTATACATTATATGACTGACTGATTAATAATTAATAACAAAATTTTTAAATTTATTTAGGTAAAATTATATTAAAGTAAACTATAAAGAAAAAATTTTGATCATTTTAAAGATTATAAGCTTAAAAAAAATGGTATTAGTAAATTATTAAGCTTAGTAGCTATCTAGCTGAAAATTTCATTCATCTATAATAATTTTTTAATTAAATTAATTTAATCTAAAAAATTTTATCAATCCGATATGAAAAAATATATCTATAAAAATATTTAATTTGTTAATTTTATTTATTAAGTTAAGTATTTGTTTTGTTTTGGTAAAATAAATATTATAAAATAAGATACAGTCTAAATATAAAATTAACTTAAAATAAAAATAAATAATATAAATATGTGGTAATTTATGCAATTCATTTCACTTTTGAGTTGATACACTCAAAAATTATAATTAAGGTAAAACTTATGGACTCCTGCTCCTCAATGGAGTCATTCTATTTTTTGTGTAAGGATTTATCATTTAAGGCTTTGTATGTTGATCTTTATTAAAGAAAAGGTTGTGCTGTTCCAAACCGTTTTAATTATGGAAAAAATTTTTTTCGTTAGATTTAACAGGAGTGTTTTTTAATTTTGCAGGGCTAGGAATATTAGTGTTGTATTTGCTGCTTGAAGAAGTGAGAGCTGATTTAAGAGTAAGATCAGACTAAGAATGAGTATTTGTTTTTGTTTATCTTTATAAAATAACACTTTAAAAGAATTATTAAGTTGTTGAACTTAAATCAATAGATGACTTTGGAATATTTCTATTACTGTGAGCCTAAATTTTAAAAATAAAATTGAATTACTTTTGAAATAAACTAATTAAAATCCTACTTATAAGTTAAATCTTTATGATTTTAAAGTATCTTCATGTGCTGTTTATTCGATTCCATCAATTAACTTTTCAAAAGGCACTGATTATTTAAAGAATAAATTTTGCAAGTCTTTTCTTAAAATAATTTTAGGTGGTAGCTATTTTAAAATTGAGTTTTATGAATTTCTTTGCTATAATTTATAAGGGAACTGTTTTTTTTCTGGAGACCTGGATTATATTTTTAAATATTTAATTTATTTTTCAAAAAATATTTAAAATTAATATACTATTTCTCTGGAATAGTAAGATTTTTAAGACTCATCGACAAAGTATTATTTTTGAACATTTATTTTCTATTTGTTTATTGGCTGCTTTCATCATGAATATTGGTTAGTGACCTAAATTATTTCATTAAATAAATATTTAATCATCATAAAAAAGATAAAAATTAATTAAAATTTATTCTAACAAAAAAGCCTTGAAAATAATAAAATTAATTAAAATTTAATTGATAAAAGATTTTAATTTACTCAATAATGTTGTATTGTATCATTGTTTATCTCATTTTTTTAATATTTTCTTATGGACGAGAGTAGTTGGATTTATTTCTGTTAAACTTATAATTATCTAAATCAGTTTAAGTAAGTCTTTCTTTGTAATCTTAGTCTGTCATTTTGCTAGCAGGAGTATTTTTATCAGGTGAGCAGTCTCCAATGCATGTCATTCTGATATTTGTTCTTCCCTTTGAATTTCCTCTTTCTAGTCTTTCATATTTAGCTTATTCTTATTAAAATTACTAAAGCGAATCAGATAATTTTAGTTCGTTTTATCCTTAATTGTCTGATTATTCAAAGAATGTTTTGTCTAAAGCTAAATAATTTAAAGTAGTTTAAATAAAAAATTGTATCAAAAGTATTCTAAAGTAAAGTTTATTTAATAAACATATGAAAAAGAATAATTAAACCTATAAAATAATTTAGGTTATTTTAATAGTAAATGATAAAAAAGACTATCAAAAAAAATAAATTTCATTTTAAAATTTAATTAAATATTTTTTAAAAATTTAAAATCCATAAAAAAAATAATTTTAAGGTTAAATTGAAATTAATTTAGCATTTTTAATTTATAGAAAAATGAAGTTTGAAAATTAGAAATTCTAAATGAGTTTGTTTTGTTTTATATGAGTGAAGAAATAAGAAATTAAGTTTTGTATAATGAGGAATAAATAAAAAAAATACCTGCTTTTAAAACACTCAGCTACTTTTCTTTCCTTAGCTTTAAATTTTTACTATCGATTGCTTGTGATTTAAAATTTTGAATGACCATATTAGCGAGTTAAACTTTTCTTGCCATAGCTGATTGAATGTCCATATCATTATGCTTTATTTGATAAGCAGTAGCAGGACCTCCACACTCATGGCACGTACAACTTTTTCTTCTTAATTTCTTTGCTTATTTTTTTTTCTTTCTCTGCTATCTCATAACTATAAATTTTTAAGCCAAAAGACTCTCTTTTTGTTTTTTTCTAGGGAAAATGTTTATTTGGCTACTTCTACGAGCATTAGATCCATTTAAATTTGGCTAAGAGACTGCTTATGCAATCATAATCGTAGGCATTTGATCTTACTATTGCTGTTGTCTGTACTTATCATCAAGATCTTAAATTAAGGATTTATATTTAACTATATCACCTGAAAAACTTCTTTTGTCTTTGTTCAATTATAAAGAAGGATGGAGAGCAATTTAGTGATTGCAGTCATATCCGTTGATCTAAGATTTAGCAAATTTAGATAACCTGAGTTCATTTATTTCCTTTAAGACTATTGACTAATCTTAAGATTCTGTATTCTTTATTTCTTGATTTTTATTTTAGGTATATTAGTTTATTATATTAATGTCATAAAATTGTATTTATTTTTTTTAGTCTGCATCAAAAAAATTTTTATAGTCTTAGTATTTGAATTTTTTTTATATATCTTGACTGATAGCTCTACTTGCAATACAAACAATATTAGATTGCTTTTGAACAATTTGACTATTATTGTTATTATTAAAATCTAAGATTCTATTACTTCTATCATATCTTTTGTTAGATTTATTATTTTTTAATAGAAGTTGCAAGACATTTTCCAAATTAATTTAATCTGGACTTTAAGGTTCGCTTGCAGGTGAGTTATGTTATTTGTTTGTCATAATGTAAATTAAAATTATTAATTTATTATGAAAAAATAATTAAAAATTTATTGGTATTTTTTTAAATTATTAGCTAATTAATACACAGTCATAATAAATATTGTAAAAATCTTTCTTCTATTTTTAATGGATTGCAAGTAGATAAATTAATCATTAAATTGATAAGATAATAAACAAATAACTAAATTTCGAGACGATAGAAAATGATAATATTAATCCTACTAAAAAACTATAAATAATAATCTAAATTGGCTATGACAAATTGGATAATTTGTATTAATTAATTCTATTATTTATTTATGTAAATTAATTAATAATTTTTTAATTTTGTAAAATAGAATTTATTTTTTCATTTAAATCTATCTATTTTTTGTTGGGTAGCGTAGCAATTTTATAAAATATCAAAATATTGTATTATATATATAGATGTGTGTGTTTTGTTTATTTGATTGATTATGAGCATTATATTTATTAAATAATTTGTCTAAAATATGTTACTGTCTTATTCGAATATTGTATAGAGCCTGATTGGCTTTTAAGAGTTGGGAAGTATGAGGGTTTCTTCGTTTGCGATTTTCAAAGTCTGTTTCTTCTCATATTTGATAGTTTTTTAGCTGTGGAATGCCTAAACTTCATTATCTAACTCTTCATTATAAACAAATAATTTAGTTGCAATTCTTCACTGGTTTATAAATTACAAAAAGAATTATGTAAAAATAATTCTTACTTGACTATCTTCTTTCGATTTTATGACTTGAAGCAACTGAATTTAAATTGAATTAACCCAATAACTATTTAATATTTAAGAAATTTATAAATATGCAGTCTATTTAAGTGCTTTATTGAACCATTTAAAATTAATTATCATTAATGGTTAAATCATTACATCAAAGTTTTAATCAATTTTGTTGACTATGGGAGTTCCTTCTGAATATGATGAAATAGAGTCATTCAAATCATTATTATTCATGGTCTTCAGAAGCTATTTTTTATTTATAATTGAGCAAATTTATGTGCTAGGTAAAGTAAATAAGGCTATCAATAAGTATATTATAAGCTAAGCTTTGTCTTATTAATTTCTATGTATCTATCTATATCTTATGTAAAATCAAATATGTTTAATAAATGGAAATATTTTATGTACAATTAATTAATTATTAACTAGATAAATAAATAAATTAATTAATTTTGATAATACATAAATAGTAAATATTTTTTACAAAAAGAACTTTTAAGTCTTTATTTATCTAATGAGAGGTTGTAATTAATTGAGATCTATTGAATTACTGAAATTATTAATTTATTTGTTATTTATTACTAAAATAGTAGAGTGTACATGCAAGCATATCAAAAGTCCTTTTTTATTAAGTACTTACCTTCTTTAATTCAGTCAAATTACTATTCTCTAAATGCCATAAATTTTTTGTCTGTAAAACTCATCCACACTTTCTATCAAAACATATTTATTTTTTGAATAAGCTAATCATTAGTTTGATTTAGTTATTAATTATAAATTTTTGTAACTCAATCTCTTATTTGAAACTCTACAATTACCTTTCATAGTTACCATCAAATAATTTCTTCTTCAAAGCATTGATTTTCCCAAGTAAGGTAGCTATTACAAATTATTATTATATCAAATTTTTTCTTTCTATTAAATTCATTCTAGCTCGAAAGATGGTTCTAAACAAAATATTTAAAACTAGCTATCGGTATCCTTCTCCCATATTAGTACCTAGCAGAATTTGATAAAAGTAAACATTAATTAAGTATGGAAGATATTTACTTTTAATATTGTATGAATCAAAGAATTTTTATTCTTTAGTTAGCATGGTAAATTTTATTCTCGCTTTACAAAATTAAAAAAATGTAAATATCTATCTATCTAAAATATGAGAATACTAAATAATCAAAATGTTACAAATTATTTATTTTTTCAAAAATTCTAATATATATATTGTATAAGTTAGAAGCACTCTTATTTTTAAAACTAAATTATTGTATTTTATTGTTTAATCATATAATAAAATAAATTTAAGTTTGTAATAAATAAATTAATTTACTTCTAATTTTACATTATTTAATGAGATAATAGCTTACATTTTAAATTGTATTTAAAAATTATTAATAATTAAGAAATTTACAAGTATTTTATTTACTTACTTACTTATTTAATTATTTTTCATGTTAGTTTTTCAAGATTTAAAATCAAAACATCCATACATAAATTATTTTTCAAGTTTATTAAAAAATTTTAAAAAATGTTAAAATAATTAAATTATAATCAGCTCCTAAGTGGTAAACCTCAGATTATCTAATACTATTTAAAATATTTTATAAAGATAGGTATCACGTAGCATTTCAGTCCTGATTCAGCGTACTTAGTAACCATCCCACCCAAATATATTAAAATTAAAGATTTATTCAAATAAATTATGATTAATTATAAATATTTTTCCTTTTAAAACCAATTATTGTATTTTTATCATAAAAACATAATTTTTTTACAATTTTAAATTTCATTTTAAAATAGCTCCTTCATTAAAAATAAAACAGATATATAATTTATTTAATTATTTTTTTTTCATAATTTTTTAAGGTTCAAAATAAAAACCAACATAAATTATTTTAGAATTTATAAAAACTATTTTGAAATTAGATTATTTTGTTGAAGTTAATTTTAATCGAAATAAAACCTTCAGATTAATTAACTAAATGCTCATTATTTTTCTAGTTAGCCTTTTGAGATTTTGTCAAAAACAAATGTGAGATTCTTTTTGAATTTTGCAAAATCATCAATTTTTTAAATATTTAAGTGAGTTTCTTTCATTTCTTTCTTCATTACTACCTTAAGTAAGTAAATTACATTAGCATTTGTTATTTCTTCCCATCCTATTTCCTCTTCGTCTCCTGTAATATCACTACTAATTGCATTTTCTAGCTGGTACATAGTTTCAGATGAGAGATTAAATCTAATTTTAAAAAGCCACAAAATAAGCTTGACAGTAATTGATAAATTATTTGAAACTTGATTTAGCTATTCTTAAATCTTCTCATATTTATTTCCCAATTGTATTAAATCATCAAAACTCTTTTTAAATTTAAATATTTAAAAAAAATTAATTTTAAATTAATTTATCTAATAATAATTTATTACCTTTTGCATCAATATATCTAAGTTATTTATAGGAGCAGGATTCTTTTCTTTAAATCTAGTTAATAATCTTTTTTAAATAGTACGGAATTCAGTAGCTTTTTTTTCTAAAAGGTCTTTGCTATCCAATAATTTATGGCGAAGTAGATAATGAGCATCTACTACTGTAAAGAAATCTTAAAATGTTACAACTTCGGTGAATGTTATGTCAGCTACATTTTTCTCTAATTTAGTTTATAAATACATTAATAATTTATTCTTTTTAAATTTGATTAAAAAATATCAGATTTTTTTTGGAATTATTTAATTTTGTTTTAACAAAATACAGCAAAACTTGATTATTTAAAAGAAAATCGATGCATAAATTCAAAAAAAACAAATTTTATTATTACTTATTAAAATATATTTGATATTTTTTAATAAATTACTAAAGAAAATGTTTGAAAAATTTACTTGACTCTTAATATTTTTTTATCTTTTAGAAAAAATAAAGCATGATGAAATATATTCCCTCAAAAGTAGAGCTTTAAATTCTATATTTATCTCCTTGCTTAGAGCATAAAATAGTTCCATAATTTCCATTTGAATATTCAAAGGTATAAGTATTAGGTGCTTAAAGACATTCTTCTTTATTTGTGCATTTATCAACTACATCCTTAAAGACTTCTGAAATCTAAAATATTAAAAAATAAATTTATATATAAATTTTTATCTTTATTAATTACATTTTCGCATGGTAAACTTGTATTGAAATTTAATTTGTAATTTGCATTTTTTATAGGTACTGCTAAATGGCATTATAAACCGCAAGGTAATTCAATTCTACCTACTGAATTTCTTGGGTCTCTATTAGCTTACTCTTTTAATATTAATAATTTAAAATAAAAATGATACTTTGTATTTGGATTAAATAATACTAAATAATCAATTAAATGCAAATTAACATACTTCCTGGAGCACTGTTGTGGTATGAAACAAGAATTTCTACTTAGCTGGCTGACGGGTTGAAAGACTTGAGTACGTATATTGGAAACTCGTACTAATATGAATTAACTATTTCTTGTACTGAATGAGGCATTTTATTTGCTGGTACTTCTAAATTTGGAGGTAAGATAAGAGATATAATCACATCAGAAGCTTTAATTCCAGTATATTAAAGATTCACATTTACTTTTACGCATTTAACTGATCCATTTTCAAACTTATAATATTTTTCATCATCTTATACATAGTCATAAGCAGGAATAGGAGCTGAAACCTAAATAAATTTAAAATAAAATAAATATTAATTAAAGAAAAGAAATTTATTTATTTATTTATTTATTTACTTAAATATTTATATTCATAGTTTCGTTTGCATCAGCCTTCTTAACAGGCTATTTACTTTCTAATTAATTGATTTTCTAAAATGCTACTTCATACATATCACTGATTTAATTTATTGTTAAGTTTTATCCAGGAAGAGGAGCAAAGCTATCCATCTAATTGAGTGGTGGTTCTGTACCCAAATAAGATACATTCAACCAGCCTTCATCATTTAAACCAACTAGTAAACCTCTCTAGCCATCAAATGTTCCTACTCCAACACCATGACAAACATGATCTGTTCTTTATTAAAAGAAAAAAAATTATTAACTATTCTTTCTTTATTTAAATTAAAATAACATTTATATTATTTTAAATTATGTTTTAAAATTTTAAAACTTCTAGTTTAATTCAACCAGAAAGCAGTAAACCCTTTTTTTTGTTTGAAAGCTTATTTTTTAAATCAATTTAAAGCAGTCCTAACTAATTTTATCACTCAATTAAATATCAAAATAATTACTTTGTTGCCCAGAGAAGCTGGAAATCCTCATAAATCATAAGGTGGTGAGTAAACGAAGTGATTATTAAACTAATAACACGCAGAGGCTGCTAGCTTAATGGATCTAAGACAGCCTTAGCATGTTTTTCTGGAATTTCATTAATATAAAAATTAGCAGCAGGATAATCGAATCTTTTTTATGTTCTTATTTATCCTGTTTATGTAATCACAAATAAGGCTTCCTCAGTCAAAGCTATAAAATCAAATACTTTATGATCACGACAAACACACTCCAGCTTGAGGCACTACTCGCCAATATTAAGAGTCCAATCTGGAAGCAATTTCTAAATTTCAAAATGATTAAAAATTTAAAAAAGAGATTAACTTCATTTAAAATTAAAAATTATGTTAATTTGTTAATTTATTTTTTTATAATTTTTAGTAAATATCTTTGCTTTTTTTAATAAATTAATTAATCAGATGTGCTTCTTGCTTAAAATATTTATTAATAGAAGTATATTTCGATTACTTTTGTTCCATTTGAATTGCTCGCAGCACCAATGTTAGAGATTTTGTAAGCTTCAATTTCATATGATGAATTTTATAAGACTATTTAATCTGTTGCAGAATTGTAAGAGATAGGAGAAGGTAGTAGAAATTCTTACAGCTGAACGCCAGCTGTTACCTAATCTGATTCTATAATCATAAGCAAACCATCACAACTCTATACACATATTTGATCTTTTTAAGATCCTCCAAAATTTCCTTAACACTAAATTATTATTTTTTATTACTATAGGATCTAATATTTTATAAATTTATTTTACTTACCATGTTATATGCGTTTCTAGGAAGGTTGCAGACATATGTCTTTTTTAAATTAATTCTTTAATCTGCAGTTGTTTCACACTCAAATATGCAAAGTTTTTTAAAAAATAATACTGACAAAAGCAACAAGCCTGCATTAGGAGAATAATAACCACATCCTACCTTTATTTATAAAATTTTATTTGTTAAATCATTATCGATTTTTGTTGTTTGCTTAAGTTTTGATATTATCAATTTTTGAATTTTAAAACAAACAATAGAGTAGTAGTTTCATAATAAAGAAATGAAAGGAATTTTGTTCTTTACTTGGATAATAGGTTCATTAAAATTTTGTTCAAAAATCATATCATCTATTTAGAAATCTCTTTTTTTAGGTGCATATATTCTTAAAAATCCTTAAAAGGAACCAACTACAACCCTATCTTAATGCTATGGATTATTATCAATATTTGCAACTAGTAAATGCTTATCATCAAACTCTTCATTGCCTGATATTCTAGTATTCCACCATTCTTTTGTTTGAAATAATGACATCTCTTTAATTTTGCTATTCTTCTTAATTCAAATAATAATTGATCTTTAAATTTCCTCCTTTATTTCCTTAAAAAACAGTCAGTCTAAACTTTCAAAAATGCTGGCTTTTATGATATTTTATTTATTTTTACTAATTGATATAAATCTTTGAATAATAATTATTAGCTATACAATCATTCATTTAATTAACAAATTAATAAGTAATTTATGTGTTTATTTGCATGTAAATTTTCTAATAAATTTTTCGCATTTAATGAATGCTCAAATCTTTTGATGTCAAATAATCCAAATAAAGTAAATAATTTGAATGAATGCTATAGCCAACGTTTCTAATTATAAACAACCATTTTAATAAATAATTTTATTTTAAATAGATAATTGACTACTAATTCTCTCAATTTTAATTTAATAATTATTGAAACAATGGAATTTAAAAATAATTTTTAAATCAAATTATACAAGATCTATTAATTGCACATATAAATAATCTTAAATTAAAAATATCAACTTAATCAGCTTAAGTAAAGCATTAATGAAACTTTAATTAAATCTTAAATCATTTAAGTTTTTTGGAATTAATTTACTAAAAAATAATTTTTATATTAAAAATAACCTATTAATATTTAATATGAATTAGTAAAAATATAATTTAATCAAATATGCTGATTAGTACATCAAATTAATTAATCATTTTTATAAATGCATTTATTAAAAACAAAATTGAAATTTATGAAGAACGTATAGCTTATTTAAATAATATTTATCAACCTATCAAAATTAAATTATTTTGTTCATTAAAAGAGTCTATTTATTTGCAATAACTAAATTTAAAATATATAATTTTTTCACAAAAAAAATATATTTCATCAAATAAGTTTTGACTGAATACCTTTTTAATTTCATATAATTTATAAACTATAAAATTAATTACAATCAAATTAATTTCTAAAAGTCTTATTCTAATGATTTCATTTTATCATTAATTATTTATATAAATAAAGAGTTTAATAACAACAATATATCAAGTAAAAATCAAAATAAAAGTTCATATTTATGGTGTAAAATGAATCTATGAAAGATACTAAAATGAATATTTTCTGCATTTAAGGATAGTAAAGAAAATTTTAATGAATAAGAATTTGTGGTAAAAAAAAAGCAATTAGAATAAGCTAACATAATTTTTTATTAGATATATTTTTAGTATTATATTTTTTTAATAAACAAATATATGCATTTAAAATCAAAATTAGTCAAGTCTACATCTTTAATTAGTGAGTATTTTAAATACTGATAAAAAATTGATAAAAACTCAAACACACATCTTTTTATGCAAGATAATACTTTATTATTAACTAATTGTTTGTAGTAAGTTTATAGAGAAGATATAATAATTTATTGAATTTTTAAGAAAATCAATTCGAAATAGAATAAAATATAAAATAATGTAGATATTGCTTAAGGCTTTGATATTTTTTTCAGCTTTATTTAAGATTTCTAAAGCTGCTAGTTGTTCAAGTTGCTTATATGGCTGCTGTGATTATTATGTATTTCATTTTTAAAAATAAATATCATTTTTTTCAAAAAAAAATATTAAAATGGTTAAATATAATATAAAATATATTAGATTATATAGTATCAAACTTATTAATATTTAGCTTCCCACATAATTTAATCAACAAAATAATTTTGCATAAATCGATTTTATGATTTTATGAAAATATTTTTATATTTTAAAGTTATGAATGAAATAAATACAAAAATGAAATAAAGCATTATTTATTTAATATGTCTTTTAAAATGTTGCAAATATCTAAGTATAAATTTTAATTAAATATAATATAGGGAAATTGCCCTGACTACAAAGGATAATGTGCATACTACAGTTGCTATTATTGTTCAATAAATGGAAACTGTGCTACTTATAGCGAATGCAATTCTACTTCATCAAAAGTTCTTATCATTATTATTTGCGTAATAGTAGCAGTTGTAGTAGTTGGGTTTGCTATTTGTTTTTATATTAGATATAAAAAGAGATAGAGAATTGAACAAATAAGATAAAAACATCTTCAAGCTTAATTAAACTCACAAAATGATATTTCAAATAACTCTAATGCAACTTAATAAGTTGCTATTGGCTATCCAGTACCAGATTATAATTAGCATGCATATTAAAATTAAAATTATTATGCTAACAATTAAATTCCATACAGTGGTAATATTGGTTAAATCTCAGCTAACTAACACCCAAGTTAGTAGTATTAATGCACAATACCTACAGGAGAAGCAATACCTCATTATTAAATATAGTAACAACACCCGTAACTTAACGTCTAGCCTGGTTATCCTGCCTATTGAATATATTAATTACAAAAAATAAATCTACTTTTAATAAAAGTCTAATTGCTATGATAATATTGCATCTTTAATTATATTATTTAATAATATAAATAGTGCTTTTGACAATATACAATTTAATTATTTTAATTAAACAATTTTTTATAATTTAAGCAATTTCTTCATTTTAATTTAATATTTTTTAACTAAAACAAAAAAATTAAAATAAGTTATTTATTTATTTAGCTTTTATCATCTAGTTATTTACTTAAATATTTTAAAATAAAAAATGATTTACATTTTAGTCTTTTAAATGTTTTAATCTGAAAAATTTACACTAAATAAATAACTCAAAAATTTGTTATATAATTTTATATACTTAAATTTAGAAAGACTGAATTTTTAAAAATTTTATTATTAAACTAATTGTTTTAAAAATGTCTTTTTCAAAAAAATTATATCATGAGAATAAAATTTCATTGTTCTTTGTTGATTAAATTTGATTATTAAAATACTTATTTTTTGATGAAGTTATAATAAATTTTTACAAACATTAAATGAATTTTGTTATAAAAGATTACAAAAAAATTATTAAAATTTAGTTGATTAATTAATTGATTTATAATTATTTTTCTGTTTAAACTCAATTTACAACTTAGAATATTTTTTAGTTTTAGATTGCTTCTTTAACGTTTTAATCATTTACAAGTATCTCCATAGGGATCATATTTAACATTCCTTTTACTCTCCAAACTTTTTTGGTGAGATTTCTTTTGAAAGGGATCCAGAATAATAATATTATGATAAACGAGAAGCAAACAAATGAAATGAATAAAGCTACGCAGACAGTTTAATAATAATTTAAATATGACTATATATCATTTTAAAAAGTATCTCTCAAGCCATCATTTGGACCTACTAAATATTATAATAGCCTGTCTGCATTTATGAAATCAGTTCCATTTATAAAAGTAATAATTTGACTCAAATTAGGTGCAGCGATTCTATACTATTGAATGATATTTCTTGTAGCTAATTTAAATTAATAGTTAAAAACAAATTAAATTACTTCAAAAAATGATTATTTTTATTATTAATATAAAAAGTTTAGATTTAATTGTTTTAATAATTTTTTGAAAATTTATTATTATAAAATCAAACTTTTAAATTATCAAAATATTTCTTCTTAAAAATTTATCAATTAGTTTTAATAAAAAAAATTGATATTTTTTATTTGTGATTGCTTACATTTTTATCTTGCAATAAAAGTAAATTATGTATGTTTGATCATTATAATGAATTATTAAATATTTACTAAAAAATAGATAGTTAATTTATAATTTTCTTTAAATGATCAATTGTAATTTTTTATTTTCAATGTTTTTAAAACTGGAATCAATTATTTATTTTTATATTTTAATAACGTTGAAAGCTTTTATTATTTTTTAAAAATTCAAAATTCATTTGCCAATTATTCATTTTAATTTTGTAATTAATTAATAAGATGTTTTTTTTTAAGAAAAATTTTGAAGAGATCAAAAGAAATTTTTTTATTCTTATGATAAATTTTATATAAAACCTATTTTTTTTAATTAAAAAAATATTTACTTAAAATAAAACTTTGAATTCCTAACTTTAGTCCATATGGAAGTACTTAATTTGCAACAGTTTAACATTCTGCCTAGGTAAGGTTATTGTTAGTATCCGTAGCTGTTGTTAGGAAAGGAAAGCATGTATTGTTAAAATTTAAGTTTGAGAATAGGTTCATATAATCATTAAACTCGCTTGGGAAATTATTTCCTGCTGAATCAAATATTTGCTATTACTATTCTAAAATCAAATCTGAATAATATTCTCTTAAATCTTATCCATTTTCTACATTTGGTTAACCTGTGCATATCTCTTCAAGAGTATAGGCCTACACATATCTATTTGAATTAAAAATTAGTAAGTATAAGTCGAATCAAAAATCCATTTTACTTTAACATAGGATTGGTTTACTATATGTAATAGTAGTGATCAAAGACATCATACAACTACGAAATGTTATTTTCGTTAGTCAGATACAATGCTATGAAAACTGATAAAAAAATAACAGAAAAAATTATAATTTTATAAAGATCATTCATAGAGCTAGAGTTAGTTGATTAATTTATTTTTTCACTTTTTTCTTGTAAAATTTCCTTTTCACTTCTCAAAATCTTTTCTTCCTACTTTCTGTCCTTTAATTTTTTAAAGCTTTTCTTCTTTTTATCTACAGATTGCTGGTATGACTCTGCATCTTACAAAGTGTAAGGAGCAACTTCTTGTGGATTGTCTTTTTTTAATATAAGCCTAACATCTTCTGCCTTATCGTTTTTAATCTAATTATCAGACTTTTATACCTAATTATTTTCAGGTAGCTTTTCTCTTCCTATGTTCTATATATAAATAATATCATATTTAATTTCTAATTCTTAATAGATATTAAAATCGATTTATTATTTAAAATGTATGTTAACTTTTCCTTTCATATTTTATAATCACTTTTTATTTATTTATTTATTTATTTATGTATATCTTTCAAAATAATTTTAAACTTTTAATATTTTCTCATAAAACAATTCATAGCTTTAGCCTTCTAAATTAAAAGTTGGGGCGTGTATAAAAATAAATAGTTAAAGATGAGAAAGAAAGCTTCTTAAATATTTATTTTAAAATTGATTTTTATCTGTAAGTTTTTTTTCATAATATTTAAGAATTTATTCTAAATAAGTTTTTGCTTAAAGTTGAAATTTAAAAAATATTACAATGATAACTTAGGAATCGTTTTAATTAATATTGCTTCTATGACTAAATTAATGTTAATCATCTTAATTATCCTTAAATTTATCTAAGTTTTCCTCGTTGTTAATAGTTTCATTTTAGGGTTTATCTGATTCTGTTTCATTTTTAATTTCAAAATTTTCTGGCTTTTCTTAATCTTGAGCATTGTTGGTGTTACTTTGAACTTATTGTGATTGGCTTTGTGATGCTTTCTAAGTTTAAAGCTTTTAAAGCTCGTTTCTTTCTTCTTCTTTCCAATCTAAAAACATATTTTAAAAGTTTTCTACTTTTAAAACTAGCTCATTTATTTCTTTTGGAGAAATCAATCCAAATAATGATAAGACTTTATTATTAGATTTGTGTGTAGTGAAAAGAAATGGCAGTATTCCAAATGTTCCTACTAGAATCACTGCTATTGCTGTCATGAATACGATAAACTCACTTTAATGGAAGGTATTTATTAAATTGTAATAGAAATTGAACATCTTATCAGCTTCATACTCTGAATTATTCCTTAAAACATGTAATCCATTCACCTTGTTATAATAGAAATACTTTTAGTCAGTTCCTACAAAAGTTCTTTTTTTATTTTAAAAATATTTTATTTAATTAATTTAAAATAGAAAATAATAGATACGGATTAGAGGGAATGCCATCAGGAAACATCATATTTGACATTGTAGAGTTAGAAATAGTGTTTGCACCAGTTGTATAAGAAAATATTGCATCTGTAAATTCTTGCTGTGATGATACTACTTAACCATTTTAAAGCATGGAAGAGGTAGTTATATAGTTACTCTAAAAAGTGTTAGAAGTAATACCATTTGCTTGCAGTTAATCCTTAATTATCTGAAACTAAGTTTTCTATATAAGTTCATTGTGGAGAAAAAGCTTTTGTTTTTAATCAAAAAATAAATATCTGAAATAAAAAATAAAATTTAATAATTACTGTGTTTTAATTCAGACTAAAAAGTGAATCTTAGGTAAAGTTTACAGGAATCGCCCAATAATTGCTATTTTAATAAAAGGACAATATTACATTTGTATACTAAATTAAAAACGAATTACTTTGCAATTGCCCACAGCTTTCTCTAATAATAATTAATGTCACTCATTTGGTTGTGTCTCATGTAAGAATCAGTGATAGAAGAAATGCCTTAGGAAAAGTAATTTATATAGTTAATTTTAATAGTAAATTCAGCTATAAGTAAAGATATTATTGCGATGAGAAGAAATAAAACAAATTTATCCATCAAAACAATAGGCTAAGGAATCTTTTTTTCTTATATCTTTGATTTGAATTCTTTAAATTATTTGAGATGGTCTTCATTAACAGACTCTTGCAGCTAAGAAGATCCCATATTTTAAGAATTGCTTTCAGAACCTAAAGAGCTTTTACTTTTTAATTCCTTTGCTTATTCATCATTTTTATCATGAGAATCTTTTGTTTGAAGATCATCTTTTTCAGAGTCGTTAATAATTTTTGTTGTAAGAGATTTACCACCTATAAGTGTCTTAGCAAGCTTCTTATAATCATTTCTCTTATATTCACTCTTTCCATCTTCTGTATCTTCTTCTTCAGTTACTTTTATCATGTTTATCTAAATTATTAAAATAATTCAAATTAAAAGTGATACTAGAAAATAGAAGAAAAAAAATAACCTTTTTTCCATCGTAAACACTCTCTTATATTAGATGAGTTCTTACCCTTATTCTTTACATTTTGTTAATCCTTGATTTTAAAGAGTTTTTCTCAGAGAAGGATTTTATCCTGCTTTATCTTTTGGACTTACCACTTTGATTATCTACTAACTTCTCTTCTTCAGTTATTTTAGAAAGTGCTTCTTAACTACTTTCACTAGAAGAATTTTGATAATCATAATCTCCCTAAGATCCGTCTCCATCACTTTCTTGTTGATCAGAGTCTATTGCATCTTCATCTTCTTCGTCAAGCATGTAATAGTATAAAATCTAAATTACATCTATCTCCATTATCTAGCCGTTTCCGTTTTTCATGTTTTCTTCTCCTTCAGGATCGTATATTTCTGGGACAATCCTTTCTAATAATTCAGAAAATTTTATAATTAATTAATTGGTTATTTTAAAAAAATGAGGCTAGAATTGTAGGTTCTTTTTAATAAAATTGAATTTAAAAATTTATTTTTCATTTAAAAGAAACAATTAAAAAAAGGTTGATTTATTTTTAAGCATATTCTGAATTTTACTTAAAGATAAACTTATTGATAATTTGTTTGAATATTAAAAGATATTTCAAGCAAGCAAGCAAGTAAGCAATAATTAATAAATTGAATATTTATTTTACCCATAGAAAGATGCGAATTGGATTATATTTTATATTAAATACATTCAACAGGAATTCCTAGCTTACTTATGAGAGACTTACTGATTCCTTCAACAGTGTCAGTATCTGGCCTATAAAGAATATAATGATCTTAACTTTAGAGAGTAATATTTAATTAACCAGAGTTTTATTTTTTTATAGACTTTTATTTACTTTGCTTTTTATATTAAATTTCATTTAAAAAACCAGCAATTAAAAATCCCTCTTCCATAGAATATACTAATCTCAGATATATTGAACATGGTATCAGCTAATGTTACTAATATTAAAAATTTTATAAAATGAGTAAGTAAATTTATTTTATTTATTTCAATACAAATTGATATAAAGTTTAAATTAAATTTAAAGAGGATACTTTGAATTAATAAAAATAATGAATTACTTTATTCTAAAGCATAACTATTCGATCCTAATCCATGTATTTTGACTCTGTACTTACCATCAAATTTACTATCATTTCATCATGAATTTCTGCGAAAAACTTTGGCATCAGTTTAGTAACATTTTGATCAATAAGTTCTTGCTTTTTGTACTTTGTAATACTTTTTTTTACAAAAATAAAATAAATCATGGCTTAATAAAAAAATTTGTTTACTGTAGAATTTCTTTGTTTACTTTGTGAATAGTTCCGACAACATCATGCTTATTATTACATAATATAAGGCCTACTCTAGAATTTTATCCATACTTTACTCTTTAAAGATCCATCACAGCTTAAGTAGCAGAAAGTTGTTTTTTTATTTCTTCTACACTTTCTAAAATTTTTTCACTTTCTTCTGTATCATTTAAAATTAATTTAAGATAATTCGCATATAATGTGAGAGTCCTTAAATTTTATGGGTAAATATCAATGAGTTCATCAAATTTATTTTTTATTGACAAGCTAATTTCTGTTATTTTTTCTCCTATTTTTTCTATCTTTTAAATTTCAGGCGCTTATTCCATCAGCTCTCTCCAATAATTTAAATGCATAACACATGATTTATCAATTTCTTCTTAAAAATATTGAATCTAATTTTTTTTTTTTACTTAATCAATAAATTAAAAATGTAAAAAATTTACCTTATTTGTGTAAGACATTATTTTGTCAAAATCTAATTCCTTTGGGCTCTCACATTTCTTATCATATTCTTCATATAAGCTCTCTTACACTATCAGCTAATGCCTAAATATTTTTAAATTATTCAATCAAATTTTTGTATTTTTCAAATAATCAATAAAGGACTTTAAAATTTTAAATTAATCTAAATTTAACAAATCTTAAAAATAAAACTTATATTTTTATTAGAATTTGAAAATTTTATGATATAAAAAATTAAAATTCAATTAAAAAAAATCTACACCAAAAAATTGTTTTTAAAAAATTAAATATTAATTAAATAAATAAATTATTGAATAAAATAAATCAATAAATAAAAGAAACTAACTAATATTTACCTGTAAGCTGAATAAACCTCTTAGAAACTAGGCTTTGTATTTACTGTATACATGAGTTCAACGACAGAACGATAAGGATTGTTTAATTTATCAAAGAGTATGTAGGCCCATATGAGATGTAGTTTATAGGGATGATTTGCTCGCTCTATAAAGTATTAAAGAATCATTTAAACATAGAGATACCATGCTCTTTCAATTTTTGCTTATTCTTCTTCAGAGAATTCTCTATCAACATTCAGTAATTCATTTGAAAGTATCTCTTTACAGAAACAATTAGGTGTTTCACAATTTTTAATATGCCATTTTACCATTCCCTTAATAATATATAAGTATAGTAAATCTATTTGCTCAATCTAATTTTTATTGATATATTTATTTACCTCAAGTACAATTGCATGGTTGTAATCTTTTCTCTTTCTTATCAATATAATCATCATCAGAACAAATGATTACTTATCATCATCAGTCGTAACTTAATCCAGATTTTTTTTAGTAATTTAGAAAGTATAGAAATCAAATGCTGTAATAAAAACTCCATAAAAAAGAGGGCCACCTTTTATAAATAAAAATTAATTTAAATGCTAAAAAAAATGTTTTATTTTTTAATCAAATAGAAAAAATTCTGATTTTTTTAGGAGAAATAAATTTTTTATAAAATAGATAGATACCAATGCAGACATAAAAGAATCCAATAGGATCAGCACTAGGATCTAAATAATAGACTAGACAGTTCATGCATGTAGTAAATAAGGTGAAGCACTCTACAAATACTTGCAGACAAAACAAAAACTAGTTATATTAAAAATAAAATTCTTAAATTTATTATCGAATTATTTAACTGTTTATTGAAAATAATGAGATGCAATGTTAAAATTAAGTACTCTATTATACCAGGCCGGGTTCATAAATCTATCGTTTAGGTTATTTGCCACAAATGCCATAAAAAATATATTGTATAAAGCAACTAAGTTAGCTCCTGGATCTAGTATATAATAATATTGCAGTAGGAATTTCAAACCAAGTTTTAAAAAGTGGCTTAGAGTTTCTGGTTGAGCTAATGGGAATTTCGAGTTTGGATTGGAATCATTAAAGTAAATATGGCAAACCACTGTATGAAAAAGAAACAATACAAGGCCAATTGCAGCAAAAGGTAAATGAACTAATTCCATTCCTTAATAGCAAGTAAAGCTAGCCATATACCTCGTGCTATTGCACTATATAAAATTAAGAAATATACTTAAGAAGTTCTATGGCAAAACAGTAATCTAAAGAGAACAATATATATATAGCAACTTCAAGCTCCAATTAAGTAGTGTTGACTAAGTACCCAATTTTCTTGGAGATTTCTGCATTTATTTATAAACGTAATAGGCTATTAAAGTAAAGAAAATAAGTATCCCTAAAAATATATAGTTGAAAAGAACTATCAAAAAACCATTTCCCTAAAATACAAAAAAATGCACTTATAAATATTGTATATAATTCCGGATATCTAGCCTTATAGTATTGTTATAAAGAAATGAATCTAAATAAGGATGCCATGCGTAATATTAGATTTGCAGCTAATCAATTATAATCAAAACAGCAAAGTAATATTGACTGAATTAACAAGATGTCATTATTTCATGAAAAAGGCGGTAGAAATCCAAAGTTATCTTTTCTTCTTTGTACTTTTTCAAGTAATTTTTTTCATCATTGTCTTTTCTCTTTGGTAAATACAAACTATTTTTTAAAAGTAATAACTCTCATCTGCATTTTTCTCAATTTTTTATAAAATTTATTTCCTTCATTTTAATTATAATTCTTATCATTGAAATTCAAATGTAACACAAAAAAAAATGTTATTTCTAACATCTTTTTATAATCAATACTGTTTCTAAATTCAATATGAATAATTAATTTACGCCATATTTTATGATCCTTATAAAGTGTTTTAGTTTTAATTTTTAAAGTAGAATGAATACTCCTTTCTATTTATTAACTTTAATTTATAAAATGAATTATCTATTTATCTCTTTAAATCAATATACCCTATGTTTTTACTAAGCACCAAAAGACTTATCAATTAAATTAATAAATTATTAATTATGTTAATTGTATTTAAATTTTTAATGTCAATCCTGAATTTAACGATAATCAAACCATTATCTTATTCTACTCCATATAAATGCAATTAAAAGTGAGCAAAAAAATAATAAAAATAACAACAAAATCAATTTTAAAAACTATTATATTAATTCTTTTAAAACATAAAAAAAAAATTAATTTACTAAACTATTTAAATCAATTTTATTTTGATTTAAGATTGATAAAAATATATTTATAAATAACTTTCATTTTACAATATTTATTTTAATTGCTGTTCTTTAAATCAATTTTATGAATCAAATAATACTTTATGATAATCACTTTCTCAAAAATCAAATTTCAATTATATTTAACTTCAAATTATTAAATGAGCTTTAATTAAATCAGAGATTTTAGCTAAGAATAATGCATTTCCTTTGTTAAAATGGATATTTTATTGCAAAAATTTTTAAATATTTAAATTTTAATTGAGAAATTAAGAACTAATTAAACATTTACATTTAATTTTAAAAATATTTTACATATAAATTTGAGAATGCTTATTTTTCTAATATCATTTTTTATTTATTTAGGCGTATTCTATACAAAAATACCTAATTTTTATTTTTTTGCTTTAATTAGAATGTTATTTAAGATACTAAAAAAAGGAGAAAAATATATCAGTTAATTTATTTATTGTTTAAATGAATTTCTTTTGAATAATTAAAATAAATTTAAAAAAAAAAATAGATTTTTAAATAATTTAATATTTACCTAATTACATTTATTTTTTAATGAAAATAAGTTAATTTTAATCATAATCTCAAAAATAATTTGCAACATTTTAGATAAATTTTTAATTGAAATTAAATTTAAATCTTTCTTATTTTTTATTAAGTTCATATTCCAAATGTTTTATTATGATAAATGTTTGCTTAAGTTTTTAGGTTATTTGGCTAATAAATCAAAATAAATAAATTTAAAATACATTTTGTGATTGATTAAATGGTAAAAAATTAAGAATGCTAACATCTTATTATTTTATAATTTGTTGATTTACTTAATAACTATATATTTTAAAGATATTAATTGAATTAATTAATACATAAAAGAGATACACAAATATAAAAAAATAATACTTAAAATAACAGATTTAAAAATGTTTCCTACTTCAAAAGTATATTTATTTTAGCTTCTAAAATCAGAATTATTGCTAATTTCTTTAATTTTCTTTATCAAACAGGATTATGATGACAGCGAAACATAAAGAACATTTAATTTTAGGTAATTGAACTTTGAGATTGCGAAAACAATTTGATATCATTTTGTTAAAAAGAAATAAGAAATTAGAATATAACTAAATTGGTTGGAATAGCTCATTATAAGAATCAGATTATTCTAAAATTTAATATTTGCAACTACTTTTTCAGTAAAAATATTATTTTATTTGGATTATTAAGAAATTTTTAGAGGAAATAACATAGGAACCTCAGGTGCTGAGTAGTTTGGAAAAGACTTAGAGAAATTTCAAAATTTGGAATGTCTAGATTTAAATCTACCGTACGTTAAATTTTATATTAAATTGGTTTTATTTATTTATTTAAAAATAAAAGATAAAATAGTATCAGGGATTAATCATTTATCGACTTATGCACAAGCATCTCTAAAATAAAGAGTTTAAAAGAAGTATATTTAGCTTTTTGGTTAGGGCTTTAATTTATTTACAAAGCTTCTTAATAAATGATTCTCTATACAAAAAAAGGGAAAACAATATTACAGAAGTTGGAATAAAAAAATCAATAGGAGAGATTATTTAATCTGAAAATTTAGTTGGATTTAGTTTATTCTTAGGGTAAATTCATTTATTTTTTATAAATTAATTTACTACTTCTAAATAGAGGTAACGAAATAAAAGATGGAGGTTTGTAGATTATTGCTGAAAATATGAAGCATCTTAATAAAAATATTAAAAATTTTTAACTATCCTTATGGTAGCTAAAATTTTTATTAATATTCATATTTTTAAAAACAAATCAATAAAATGATAGGAGGAATGACCTTACTGATATTGGATTTAGATCATTTTTAGAAAATTTAAACAGCTTACCAAATGTTATACACCTTTATCTTGATTTCTTGTAATTTATATTTAAAATTTTAATACAAAATGGATGGTATTATTCAATAATTATAATACTAAAGGTATCACAATAATGTTACTGATGAAACTGCAATTTTGCTTGGAAAATCACTTGCTAATTTAAAACATTTAAGAGCTTTACAGATTAACATTTAGTAAATTTTTAAAGGATTAATTTTATGATATAATATTATCATCAAAAGAGAAACAGGCATAACAGAAGTAGGCTAATAAGAATTAGCTAAGTTAATATCTTAAATTCGTCAGATTGTGTGTCTAAGATACACCTACACAGTACATTAGTAAATTTAAAATCAATTTAATGTATTTTATTAAAAACATTTGTTTTATTAAATTAGAAAACATAATTAATATAATAGAACCACTAAGCAAACTTTGAAGCTTTTTAAGAAAAAAGCTAGTTGTTTAATTTTTGTTTCAATCAACTCAATCTAGGAACTAGTTTTTTATTGAATAAAAAACTAACAAAAATTTCTAATCTCATTCATAATTTAATAATTTGTCTTATTTGAAATTTTTGTGGAATCTAATTTACCAAATTCAATAGTTAATTTTACTTGTTGGAATAGCAAATAAAATCTAATTTATGATTGTATTCTTTTTCTTATGATTGAGAAGTGTTCTTCAAATTTAGAGCTTGTTTCATCAGGAAATTTAAAAAAAAATGAGATGAAAGAGAAAAAATTATTATTAAAATATAATAAAATTGTTTTGTTAATTTTTATATAAGATAAATCAGATTAGGAAAAGAATTCATCAAAATTGTTAGAGTTTAATTAAAATCTGGTTAAAATGCATATCAGTAAAAAAGAATTTTCTCGATGATATAAAATATTGTAATTACTGTAGTAAAGAAAAATAGAGAAATTATTATTTATGAAAAGAAAATATTCGATTGGAGTTATTAAGTAAATAAATAAATAGGTTAGTAGAAAGGACAACAAACATATGAATTTTAACTCAAATAAAATTTGCTAAAAGAAATATTACAATTTATAAGAATTAAGATATAAAGAAATCTATTTTTTGATAGAATAAACTAAACAAATTTATAATTTTATTGTTGTTATGTTTTTTAAAATATAATTTTCTTATTTCATTTTATTTTATTTAAAAAGTTTATGATAAGAAGAAAGAATTAATTTTGTTTTATATAGATAGATTTATTTATTATTATAGTTGCATTCAAAATAAGTAAATGAATTAATAATTTTCTAAGCTTTTTTTAATCAATCAATTAATTAATTAACTAAATTTTTTTCAATCTAAAACAACTACACATTTTTCTTGTTTCATATTTCCAAAATTTTAATCGTTTACTAAATTTCTTTAAGATTCTTACTTATTGCTAGGTATTTCTCGTGAACTCAATGACGAGGCCAAATATATTGATTAACCTAAATCTACTTACTCATCACTGTTTGATCTTAAAGATTGATTGAGACTCATCTAAGTTGAAACAGATTGGATGGAACTAGATAGCACTTAGTTTTCTTTTTAGTTTTGTTAATTATTATTCATGATTTAGTTATATTGTTGTATATATTGCTACAAGAGTTTAGCCATTTCAATATTTTCTTCCTCATTCTTTTTCTTTTGGCTTTGGCTATATTCAATTATCGCTTAAGCTTTTTGTTGCGAGTAGTATCTGTCTAAAAATAACTCTGTTTCAAAGGAATATGTTAGTTCTTCGCCTAGCTAAAAGTAATTCTTATTTTCTAGCATATTTCTTGCACGATATCTCTTTAACTTTAAGTCATCCAACACCTTTTGAGGTATGTCAATACTTAAAAATCCAATATAGTTTTCATAGCATTTATATTTATTCAATGTTATTTTTTCAGCTTTTACTTTTACAGGTATTTTGAAGTTATCAATTGAAATAAGGCAAATATCTTCCCATGGCATTTTTTTCTTAGCTACATTTGCAAATTATTCAACGATAATAAAGTATCGCGATATTGGTTCAACAAAATCAATCAATCCCTTTCTCAGAGATATTTGGCGGAATGTTTCATAGTCCAGGCCCATTACTTCCAATAATTATTCACTGTAGCCCTAAGCGACCATCACATCTTCCAAATAAGATCCTCTCTTCAAAATATAAGCAAGATATTTATTTTCCTTCCTCTTTTCAGCTAAAACGCTTTTCATCTTTTCCTAAGCTTCCTCCCAAAATGCTTGTTCATTAAATTAACCTGAGTAGGAGCTGTTAGTGGTGGAATTCAGCATTTTAACCTTAAAATCAATTAACTTTTAATACTTTGTGAGCAAGACTGCAATTCCGTGAGCGAATTAATCATTCATGCAATTCAATTTTTCTACTACACCTCTAAAATCAGTCAATCCCTACTGGTATTATCCTATCTGAAGCTCAACAAATTATTAAAATACATTACGTTGCACTGAAACGACTGGTCTAAATTCCGAAAGAGGAGAAAATCTGCTTTCTTTTCCTCTTAATAATTCAAAATCTATAGAAATGTCACCAATTAAGTAAAAATTAGCTCTTTCTAGCACAGGTTTTAACAATTAAATTCCAAACTCAACTACTTTGAGTTGTTCTTGGTTTTTTGTTGCTAAAGAATTATTATTTTAGCTTGTAAAAGAGCTCTAATTAGTACTGCTTTAGCCATTTGAAAGTTAATCAGACACTCCTTCATTATCTTCTTCATCTATGCTATATTATTTATGATATATTTCGAATCCATCTTTAACAGGTAGATTAGGTAATTGAATGGTTGAAGTCAATTGCGATTGAATCACATCAGAGAATTCACTTCTGTTGTCTTGGTAATTCATATGAGTCTCTACATCATTAGTTTGCAACTCTTCTTATTGTTTGTAGTAATAGTTAGATCCATACTACTCTTAATAATTGTTATTGTAATAATTATTTGTTTACTAACCATAAAAATTCTGTTAAAGACAATCATTTTCTTGATTATTTTGAATAAAATAATTATCTTAATTATTAAAATTGTGTACTTCTTAACCGTTAGGTTACTAAAAGTTAATACTGCTAGTGTAAAAATTGTTTGCCTCTGCATAATTTTAAGGTATTTAATTTTAATTATTAAAAAAATCTCCATTTAAATAATGGAAATTGGCACCTGCTTGCTCTAGCTCCATATTTCAAATTATTTTCTATATTTTTAATTCTCTGTAATGAATTGAAGTTATCCTGAATGAATAAATATTTATTTTTTGAAAAGTAATTCTATAAAAACTTCTTTTAGAAACTGATACTTATAATATTATAATGAGTTTTGTTTGCTTTTTTGTTTATTTATTTGTTTCTTTTTTTTTTGCGCTTATTAACAATATTTATTAAAATCAGTTTATCACAATAATTGTTATTATCATTAGTAATGTTTGTTAACAAAAATAATAAATAAATAAAGAAATGATTCATTCAATGATCTCACTAAAAAAAGATAATAAGTGACCAATTTATTAGCTATATAAATTCAAATATGTGGTGACTCCTCTCAATGTTCCGCATTGATTTTTATAATCCAAAATAAGTTTAAAAATAAACATAAAAATAATGCGAAATTTAAAGACTCTATCTTGATTTCATGAATAAAGTAATTCAAATCGAAATGCATATTTTTCTTATTTTTTTCTATTAAATTTCTGCCTCTACTATAGCAAAATTAATTATCTATATCAACAAATGATGATAATTACTCTTAAATAAATAAGCAATAACATATGTAAATCATAATATTTTTCTTTTTAGACAATTATAATAATAATTCCTATTGAATTATAAATTATAATACTCTTCCTTTCGAAAAACTTATAATAATAATAATAATTCCTAGCTAAAAATTAATAATAATTGTTCTTAAATAATAGATGCTCACTATCATTTAAAAATGAAAAACTTACTATCAAAATTATAACCAAAAAATATAGATTTAAATTTTTTAAAATTAATTTTTACTTTGTGAAATAACCATAATTAACCCCTTTTGACCTAATTTAATAACTACCTTTTTTTAAATTAATTTAAAACACCACTCAAAACGCTTATAACTTATCAGATTTTTTAATTTTTATGAATTTTCTTAAAAAGAATGTAATACCTTTAAAAAAAAATATAATTGATGAGCAAACTTAAATCATATTTATAAGAAAATCTCCACTTTTCACCTTATTTTAACAGTTTTCTAAATTAAACACTTAAATAAATGAAAAATTTGGATAGTTTTTTAGATAAATTTTCAAATTTTGACCAGATGTAAATATTTAAAAAGAATCAAGGAATTAATTACATGCTCCATATAATCTTGAATTTATATAATTATAATTGTTAATGGTGAATATTTTAAGAACTATTACATAAAAATTAAAATAAATTATAATTTATTCATTAAAATTCCTAAGAATAAATTTTATCTATTTGATAGGAAGTTTCTTTTAGTAAAAAAAATATATTCAGCTCTAAAAATTTAAAGTGATAAAAAATATTTTATTGAAGCTAATTTGAAAATAACAAACTATAATTTAATACTCTTTTAACATGAATTATGTATGAAATAAATAAATAAATAAAAATTAATCATCTAACAATTTTGCATTTAAAATGAACAATATCACCATCTTAAACTATGTAGTCTTTACCTTCTTTTCTAAATGATTTTTTTAATTTTTCAACTCCGTTGCTGCCGAAACCCTCGAATTCTTTATATGAAAGAACTTCAGCACTAATAAAGCCTTTTTCAAAATCAGTGTGGATCACACTTGCAGCCTAATTAATTATAAATGAATTTTTACAAATTTAAAATAAAATTATGAAATAAGTTACTTTAGGAGCAGTAGAGTTCTTTTTAATAGTCCATGCTCTGACTTCATCAGTTCCAACAGTAAAGAAATGGCACATATTTAAAAGTGAATATCCGTTTAAAATTATATTTTTTAACTGAGAAGTATTTAAAAGTTCTGGCTTATCTTCTATTTCTTTTTCATAAACTCCTGAGTACTAAATGATTTAGCTATCACCTCCTTTTTCCTTGATCCAATCTGCAATAGAAGGAATAAATTTGCAATTTTATTCTAAGTAGTCTTTCTTGCTTAAATTAATTAAATATGTAACAGGTTTAGTTGTAAGAAGCAAAAGCTTATTCAAAACTTCAACATCCTTATCATCCCACTTTTAAAATCTGATCCACTATGAATATAATATAATTTTATTAATATGGTTTTTTATACAAGAGTTTATATTTGATTCTATTAAATGAATTCTATGCTTATTTCTGAATTATTTAATTAAAATAATAATTAATTATTATTTACTCTATGATTTATCAAGTGATCCTTAGCTTTTGTTAAGACTTCTACTTACTATTTCATTTCAGGATTACCTGAACGGGCAGCTTTTGTTGAAATTTAACCTAATTTCTTATCTACAAATTACAAATCCTTCGCAATAAGTTCCTTGCTAATAATATCTAAATCTCTAACAGGATCCATTGAACCTTCTGTATGCAAAATATTCTCTCCTTCAAAAGCTCTAACTACCTAGAGAAATTTAAAATAACCAAATAAGCTACAAGCTATTAAACATAGTAAAATTAATGATATACCTAATAAATTCCATCTACTTCGCTAATGTGAGACAAAAACTCATTACCTAGGCCATGACCTTTTTATAAATATATTTTTTAATTCATATTTTTCATTTTTTTCTTAAAAATTAGCTTTAATTTAAATCCAAAATATTTACCTTCAGAAGCACCTTTTACTAAACCAGCGATGTCTGTAATCTACAAATGGGCTTCAACTTAACTTGCTGGCTTAAAAGCTTTAACTAAGTATTCAAATCTACTATCAGGAACCTTAACAATAGCAGTGTTTGGGTCAATTGTGCAAAAAGGGAAATTTTCTGATGGAACACTTTATTTGCATAGTAAATTAAAAGTCAATGACTTTCCAACATTAGCCATACCTACAATACCCATTTTTAATGTATTTCCAGGGCGTCCAAAATTGATTTATGAAGCTATCTATTTTGCTATAGCTGCTTAATTTGCAGCTGCAGGTTTCTTTTTAGAAAACTATTTGAAAATGGTTTGAGTGAACATTCTAATTCCTTCTATTAAGTAAAATATCTTTTAAATTAATTTTTAATTGCTAACTATTTTAAGTACTTCAATCAATTCTACCATCAATCAATAAATTATATTTTCAGTTTGACATTCAGTATTTAAATATGTCCTCAAAAACAAGACCAACATAAAAATAAATGAACATGAAAAGCAACACTGTTTATTTATTTATACAATTTTTGTAAACTAATTAAAAAATAAATAAATATAAAATGATATTTGATCAAATTATTTTATCTTGAATTCTAATCAAAAATAAAAATGTTTAATTATTAATAATTAAAACACTTAAAATTAATTTAAGAAAGTATTTTATTATTTCCCAATCTAAACATTCATAAAATTTCCAAAATTATAAGCAAAAATTAATTACAATGACCAAGCTAGGTTAATTATATTTTTTATTATATTTAATTAAATGTGTCAGTTTATATAGTTTTTTTAGAATTAAATTTAATAAAAAAATAATTTTTGAAGAGTTAAGAATAGGATTTGCCACAATAAAACAAGCTAACGAAATAAATTTCTAATAATTTATATCTTAAATAAAAAATATTTAAAATTTAAACAGATTTGATAATTTTGATCTATTTGTAAATTACAAAATTTAATTTTTGCCAAAAAAGAAAAAAATAAAGAAGAAATAAATATGGAAATAAATTAAAAAAGCTATTTTAAATTTTTACATATTTTTATGATTTATTTTATTATAATTAAAGATTTTATACAATAATTTTTAGTTAGATTTTCACATAAATTAATACTAAAGTAAATTCTCTTATCTTATTTCTTAAGTAGTTTACATTTCTAATAGCTCTTCTTCTTCACTCTGTGCTCTAAAAAAGAGCAATCTATTGTTTCGACAGAAATTTATTAACAATGCCAGAGCAATAGCATTGAAAATAAATATAATTAATAAAAACCCTGATTATTAGATTTGAATTATAGTAAATAAATGCTATTCACTTTTACCAGTTTATTCAATTTCTATATTAATAGATTTATTACTTTTTTACATTAAAGTTTGTTGTATAGATATAATATCTTTAGTATCAATGAATTTTTATTAATCATTAATTTACTTTCTCAAATTAGATTTGTGTTGATTAAAGATTCTAAAATATATGCCATTTTTATCAAGTTAGTTTAATGTTTAAGGATAAATATTTTCATGAGGATTGTTAATTAATTAATTTACTAACAGTTTAATTAGATTATAAAATTTAACTTAATAAATATAATCCATTTATTATTCTACCTATCCTAATAATCTTTTTTTCAAATCAAAGCATTTTTTTTCATTTAGCTCTATGTAACACAATAATAATGATTTGTTATTATTTTTAAAGCTATCACTTATAAGCTAAGCGTTTTCCTCAAAAAACAATTTTATTAACTATTGGTATTTTATTTCAATGTCTTAATTTATTATATTAGATTTTGTTTTTGATTAATAAGATTTATCTCTACTTATATCTCCATTTTGTTTTGGTATATTAATATCTAAAAGAAAATAAAAGGCACAGAAGATATCTGCTCTTGAGTTAACTCCATTTAAATAACAGCTGTTGAGGTTTTCAAGTTTAAAAAAAGAGCATTCGATTATTTAAATAAAAAAGAATATATATATGAGCTGAGCTAAACAAGATACTCTCATAATTAATTTTGAAAATATAAAAAAAAAATAATAAATTAAATTAAAATATTGATTGATTTTTTTTTGAAATTAGATCTATTAAAACAATATAACTATAATCTGAGTAATCCAAAAGAACATTTTGAATAAACCATGATTTTATAATCTAAAATAAAGTTTAATAACTTAATTACATAAATCAATTATTCATAATAAAAAAACGGAATATTCAGCTAAAAAATGTTCAGATTCCTTTTTTAAACTAACTGTCAAAATAAATAAAATAATTAAAAAAAAGAAATATCATTTAATATATTTAATCTTTCATTTATATAATAAAAAGTTTAAAATAAAAGTTAATTATTCTTAATTAGAAATTTAATAAATACTTCTATATTTAATCCTATTTTAAATTTAATTAATTTTCTTAGCTATTTTCAAAAATACTACTCTATTATTTCAGTCAATATTAAAAAAAATATTTCTTTACAAAATAAATGTAAAAATTAGAAAATTATTAATTTAAACTACAAAATATATCAGCTATTTCTAATAATTTTTACTCAATAAATAAATAATTAAAATAATTATTTTATAAAAAAATAACATCACAAATTATAGAATAGCTCATTTAAAAAAAAATAAAAGAATAATTTATATATTTTAAACTATACAAATCAAATTAAATATCTGTTGAGATGGTTTAACATTTAAAAAAAATTATTGCCCATAGAAAGCATTTAACTAAAATTAATTTTTTAAAATCCATTAATTTAGTATATTTATTATAAACTCAATTATTTGCTTAATTTTAGAAATTAATTTAATAATTAATAGATATTATTTAATACTTAAATATAATAATAGATTTATCTATTTCTATTAATCATAAAAATAAATAAATAAATAAATAAATAAATAAATAAATAAAGTATTTTTATTCATAACTTATATTTTTGCTTTATGATCATTTTTTTAATTTTAATTTTATAAAAATAATTTCTTTTTTAAGTAAGTAAATAAATATATATTTCAACTGCTCTTTCAGAAAAATAAAATATATTACATTTTCTTTGATAAAAAATATAATTAATTTGGCTGGATTTTATGTTTGCATAAATGAATTTTGAAATCTTTGGTAAAGCTAATTGTAAGTTAAAATCTAGACGTATGGAAATATTTAGTATTTTTTAGAATGGAATTACAAAAGAGATTAAAAATAGCTTTTAATTATTTAGAAAAATTATGTATTAAATGTGAATAATTTATTGGCCATAAATTATTTATATAAGTATTTCAATAGATCCTCATATGGTTATTGAAAAGAATTTAATGATATCTTAACAATTTCATTAATTTTGTATGGTTTTACTAATATTAATTATTATTTAATAAATAAACAATGATTTAAATACACTTTTTAATTATTTTAGATTTAGCATCCTTTCAAGTGCCTTACTAATAATTAAGTTAAAAAGTATCAATTTTTGCTGAAAAAAGTTAGATTCCATTTACTTTTGAAAGTTGAAATTTCAATTATTTGCTGAGAATAAGCAAGATAACTCTCTAGTTTTATCTTTTTTTTAATTTTTATGTATAAGCTAGATTTAAAAAAATTGGATAATCCCCAAGGAGGTATAAGCGCTCTTTCTACATGTTAAAGAGATTTTAATGATGAATCTTCAAGAATTTCTGACCAACCTTTGACTGTTTTAATCAAACGCAAAGAAAAAAAAGAGGATAAAACAGAGCTGCTTTAAATTTAATAGTAAAAAAAATAAGGGCTAGTCGATAAAAGCGAAGAGGGATTAAAAGATAAGTAATATTTAAATAATTAACCTAATAGTGAGGATAATAGTATTTCAGCAGACCAAAATAATTACAAGGATGTGATCAATAAATATGTAAATTCTCTAAACAAAGTTTTAAGCAATTAAGAAGAAAATAAAAAGAGCAATCTTATCGTGCCAAGAAAACAAATGTATCAATCTTCACTTCCAGAAGAATCTTAATGCAGCTATTATGATTCAGAAGAAAACTCTTAGATATAAAACAATTATAACAACAGCAACAAGTAGTAAAGTTAATACATGAATAAAAATGAATTAAATGGAAACATGAAAAGCACAAGTTAAGAAAACTCTAATTAATTAAATGGTTAACAAATTCAGTTAAATAATTCTTTTAAGTCCAAAAATTAGTTGACAAAAGCATAGTAACTAAATTTATTACTACAAGGGTCAACTACTAAAGGTAACGAAAAATAGAATTAGATGCTTTAAAGTAGTTAGTGTCAATAAAGCGAATATGCTGAGGGAGATGAGCACTTAGATGAAAATTATTCTTATTACGAAGTTTCTTTTAATCATAATGAGAATAAATAACCTAAACAATCTCAAAGTATATAAAATTAATAAAAAATTAATAATTAAATGTCAGTTTAAACAACGAATCTAAATCAAATGTAAAAGAATTAAACCTGCTAACAAAAGTTCTCAAAAGATAAGTTAGCATCACTAAACTAAAGTATTTAGTAATCTATTTATGCTAAAAGTATAGAAAATAAGAGCTCTTTGAATCCAAAAGCTTTAAACAATAGCTTGATGAACGAAGAAAAGTTATAAGCAGGCTCCATAGCAGAAAAATGTTGCAAAATTTGTCTGGAAGGCGAAAGCACAGAAGAAACAGGTTAACTCCTTTCACCATGTAGATGTAATGGATCTATGTAATATATTCATGAAGAATGCCTTAAAACTTGGTTAGTCTCATAATAAGTAGATATCGATACAGCTGCTTGCGAGCTTTGTAAAATGGAATACAATATGGAAATAATAATAGGGAAAAAATTCTAACTCACTCATGCCTGTTAAGAAGGATAAATTAGTTTTGCTAGTTGCCTTTGTCTATTTATACTTGTAGCTGGTATGCTCTCCATAATTTTTTTATTTGCTTTTAAATGGTAAAACGATATATATTTCTTATTAAACATTAATTAAATTTAACAGAGTACCATCTTTGATTAAAAAATAAACTATTCTGAGTATTCAAATTCACCACATTTTTTTAGATGATTACTTAAAAAATGATTTTTCTCTAATAAAGAATTTAATGTGAAAATATTACTTTGAAATCATAAAAATCATTACTTAGCAATTAACATTGAGAATGTATCATCCATCTATCTTAGTTAATAATAAAACCCTTTTTATTATTAAAATAACCAAAACTCTTTTTGACAAATTACATAAAAATAGCTTATCTCTAATAATAATTAAATTTTATATTTATTTACTAAAAGTAATAAATAATTTTTAGTTTTTATCTTTACAAAATATAATTATTTACAAAATAAATTTTGTTGGAATTTTATTTTAAAATATTTAAATAGAATTAGTACCTACTCATTTTAAAAGTATTTGAAATTGAATTAAAATAAATTTATTTTATTAATAATTTTAGGAATGTACTAAGTGATAGTTCAAGTTCAGATAGTAAAAGTTAAAATGATGGAAATGGGAAAAATAATTAAAAAAACGATAATAGCTCAGATTCATCAAGTGATAATTCTTTTTCATACTAGCTCTCTATTTTAATTGCTTGTGTAGTTATTTTAATAGTCATTTTAGTCCTATTTATTATGTCAATAAAAGAAGCTTTTTTTGTAGATTATATGAAAAAATGGAGGATTTACAATTTTGACAAAGAAACCACTAAAAAGAAAAAGAAAAGTCTTAACCAAAAAGAAAAGTAAAAATTAATTATCCTCTATTTATCTTTCAGTCTATTTAATATTAAATCTTCTAAAAATTACATTTTTAACACTTATCTTTATTAATTCTGAATAAATGATTTATTTTTTTAAGAATTTTAATTTTGTTAAAGAAATAATTTAATATATTAAAATTTTGCTTTTGTAGAAATTTATAGAAAGGAAATTAATAAATTTTAAATCCTCAACTATATTAAATATCATTAATAAAATAGAAAATAATTTTAAGTTATTTTTGTTTATCAAAAATATATTTAAAGTTTTTTCAATTTCAAATAAATAAAAATAATTCTAAGTTATTTGATAAATTAGTAAAAAAAAATTACTTAATTAAATTATTTATTTGCTTTTAATAATTAAATAATTCTAAGAGTTTTTTTAAAATCTATTAAAATAAAATTATTTATTAAATATGAGAAGTATATCATGTTATTTATATTTTTTTGAAAATAATTTATAAATAAAATTAAAATAAATAATTTAATATTTATAATTAAAAGGGCTCAGTTGAATTAGTAAGCAGCTACAAATGCTAGAGTAGGAAATGTTGTTGGTTCTTAAACAATTAATAATTAATCGATATTAAGAAATTAGAGAGGGCACAGGCTCTCTTAGCAATCTCAATAAATAAATAGCTTAAATTAATAAAATGAATAGATTTAAAACTACTCCCATGTTTCTAATATAAATCATAATTAGACCCAAAACTAATCATTTGATTAGTAACGATAATAATAAATTAATATAATTTAAGAATAAATTAACAGGGTATCTGAATAATATTAACAATAGGGAGAAGATAATAGCAATAGATAGAAATTGTATGATTAAACTATTATAAATAATTTAATTAATGATTAGTCTTTAAATGAAAGTTATTTAAATAGCACAGTTTTATAACTAAAAGCTAACTAAAATTTAAATGATAGCTAAACCTATAAAAAATAATACAATGTTATAGATGTCGACAAAGAAAAATAAATGATTAATGAATTAATTGGTGGTCAAGATGAACAAAAAGATGATTACTCTTTAAAATAGTATTCTCAATAAAAATAAGATTTATAAGATTCTAAATATGCAGCAGAGCTTTAGAAAAGTTAAAAAGGAACTTTAAAAATTATTTCGTCAGTTTCAAAAATAAAAAAATCACACAGTAACCTCTCTAAAGTTTAATAAACAGATAAATATACAATAAAACCAAATAATAATAATAATTAAGACGGAACTATTATCAAATCTAGTATTGTGAACTAAGATGATAATTATTAAGCTTCAATTCAAAGGCAATCCATAAATAAGCAAATTATAGGAGACGAGTTAACTTCCTAAGACAATAGTATAGATCCTTCTTAATATATAAATAAAATAAATAAACTACTTAATGATATACCTCGTTAGTTCTAAGATGTAGAAGGAAAATAAGATATAATTTATAACGTTTTGATAACAAAGCCAATAAAAAAATGAATTATTTGTATAAACTAAAGTATAAAATTTAATAAAAATTTAATTAATTATAAATTTAAAATTAATAAATCTTATTATATTATTTTAAAATTTACCATAGCTATACAACTATTTACTATACCAAACATTAAATTTTATAAATTAAATAACTTATATAAACTTAAAAAGTTTTGTATTTTAATTATTCATTAAATTTTAATGTTAGCTTTTAGATGGAATTTATCTACCTATTTTAGAGAGAAGGATTCATCATATGGATAAATTAAGAGTATTTTTTTAATAAATAGAAACATTTTTTAATTTTATGCTAAAAAAATTTGATATAAGCAGAATTGACAATTTAATTTTGGTATTAGAACTTGCTTAAGCTTGGCAATTTAAATAAATTTTTATCATTCAAGTTATTTCTAAACATCACAAAAAAAAAAACAACTAATAAATAAATAAAGAATTAACATAACTTTTTAAATTAAGTTTATAAATCAAAAATTAATGAATTATTTAATAAAATAACTTGCTAAAGCAGGAACCAAAAGAGTTAAAAAGGCATAGAACCTTGCATATACAAGAGGAATGATTCCTAAAAATTTAATTGTATTATCATTTTCATGTTCTTTCATATTATCTATTAAGTTCTTGTATACATCAATTAGATTGTCTAGATATTTTTCTTCTAATTAAATTTCTGTTAGATGGTTTTAGTTTATATCAATTTTGTCTTCTTTCAGATAATAATTTGCATTTCGCTTGATTTCACAGATAGATTTCATTTCAATAATAGATTACCTTTTCATGTCATCTCTTATGGCTTCATTAACATCAAGTTTTTCAGATGTATTATTTCTAAAGTTTTAATTCTTTACTTGATTTAAAGAATTTTCAAATTAACTAAGTCTCTTAAAATCAAATAATTAAATATCATTTTTTTATATTATGCTAGTTATTTCTTCATAAGTGCTCTATCTCAGTAGTAGATAAGTTTACTTAAAGTAAATTAATTTTTATAATATCTTATAGAATTGGTCTTTATTGTATTTTAAAAATTTGTTTATACCTGAAAACTAATTGAAGATAATAACTAAGCTAACTAATACTCTTTGAATGATACTAAATAATATATAGCAGAGAAGAAATTGACTTCCAATAATTTAGTTTTTTTGCCAAATTATACCCTTATAATCTACAATCAATGCTGTAGTGTAGATGATTATTATGATAATATCAAGAGTGTAAATAAAATTTATGTTTAAAAAATACTTTTTTACAAACCCTAAAGTTATCTCTCTCATTTGCCACCATGTTTAGATACTTTAAATGCAGAAAATATTTATTGCAGAAAAATTTTTCTAAATTTTACTATTTTCAGATTAATTGTTTATTTCTAAAAGAGTTGTTTGTGAAGCTATTTGGTCATAGAAATCATCTTCTTTAATGATAATTAGAATATGAACCAACCAATTAATTGTTTTGCTAGCTAAAATTAAAACAAAGAAAGTTATTTTTAAAAGAATGTACATTGTTTTTATATTGTCAAGATCTAAACATAAATAAACAAATAGAGGTATAACAAAAGTTAAGACAAGCAATCCAGCAACCAAAATAACTATATTGGTATAATTTCTTGATTTTGATTTTGATTTAACACTACTAGAAAAATTATAGAGCAATAAATAACCCGAATTCCATACTTTATTCTATAGAATTTTTGCTTACGCATTCACTATTAATTTATTTATTTGCTTAGGAATTAATTTTAAAATCTAGTAACTATCATTAAACTCCATTTAATTTTAAAGAAATGCTGAGAAATTTTGTCTATCTATCAACTCAAAGTAAAGGAGATTAGGAGAGACAATTAATTATTTAAATTCATTTGAATATTAATAATTCATATTTTGAATGCCAGTGTATATTACAAAATAGAAACTAGTAAAAAATATTTCTATAAACCCAACTATAGTAGCATCATACAATATTCCACTTAGTTTTTGATTTAAAATAAATATAGTGCATAAATAGAAAAATCCGCTAACAGAGATAAGAGATAGGCCAAAAAAAAAGAAGGTAAATTTTTCAATCCATTTCACTCTACCAAATATTGCAAACCAAAAATTCAATCCAAAAAACAAGCCAAAAACCATTGTTAGTAATAAAGTCAAAATAACAATAAGAAACTAAGAAGACAGTTTTAAAATAAAGTTCGTATATGTGCTATTTATGAAATTTTTAGTTTCTCCTTAAGTAGTTTATTATTATATAAATTTCTCTAAAGTATGAATTTTTCCATCTAAATTTTATAAAACAGGACTTTTTTTGCTCAGAAATACTTCATATTCCTAACAAAGTTTATTAATAGTTGCATTTATTATTAAATCAGTATATTCTTTGTCCATTAAACACAGGTCAAATCCATAGTTGATTTTAGAAGCTTTTTATCTTAAATTATTCTCAAAGGTGTTATTAATTTAATTAGTTCTACTAATAGAAAAATCTTCTTTTTCCTCCTATGACATATCTATAAAAGTCTAATTTAGTGTATGATCATAATCATAAGCCTTAATATCTTTTTACATTTTGCTGCTAACTAAATAACCAAAAGACATTCTCTATTTTTAAATATTTCTTTACTAACTTTCTTTTTACAGAACTAAATGGGTTTTAATTCCTAAAATGTTTGGTCATATTAAATTTTTATAAAAACTTATATCTTCTTTTACTTAAAAAAATTAAAAAATGATAAATTTAACAAAAGCATTTTAGTTCTAATATTTTTAAATAATTTTAACTTAAAGATAAAAATAATCAAAATGTAATATGACAATTATTCATTTTAGTTAATGAATTAAGTAAGTATTTTATTTATCGTTATTAAAATAATATAAGCTTAAATTAATATTTAAAATAATTAATTATAATTATTTTCATAATGTTTACTACCATCTTATTTTTAATAAATTTAAATTAGTTATTAAATTATTTAAACTTTTTTCTCTAAAAAAATAATTGTTTTAATTATTTTAAATATTGTAAAAAAAACAAGAATCATATTCTACTTAGCGACAAATTTGAAAAAATTATATTCAAAAATTAATCAAGATTAATCAAATTGGATTTGAAATATATTATGTTTTTTATATTTTATATTGTAAAGCATGAGATAAAAATGTTTATATTTAATGTTTTATTTTATTTAGCCCATATATTCTTTAAAATACATACAGATTATTTTTTAATGTTGATAATAACTATAAATAATTTTCTATGTTTTTTAATAAATTAATTATTCTCAGTCACCGCAATCTAAATACTCAAATAGTAAATTTATTTTTAATTTTATCTATGCTGTTTAAGGTTATTAATAATTAATTGATTAAACGTTTCATGATTTCAAAATCAATTTAAATAGGTGAATAATATGACCAATAAGTTAACTACCTTAAATTCTTTATTTTAGATCATGAGTAAAAAGATTGTCTTATTCAATAATAATCTTTTATTTTATCTTTTTCATGAATTATCTAACATTCGAGTTCATCGTAATAAGGAAACCCTACGGTAATAGCATTCAATATTTTTTAGATAGATAGAATAATAAGAAATATACTCACATTAAACGAACATTCAAACTAAATGTACTTTTTCTACACTATTCCTAAAAGTTTATTTTAAATAATTTTTCTTGTTTTAAAAATAAAACTTTTATCTTAAATATGATTTTAAAAAGAATTTATTTATTGTAAATTTCATTTTTAAATTTTTTCTTTAAAAAAAATCAATAATTGTTTGTGAATCAAATATAAAAAATTTTAATTATGATATTTTATATATTAAAAAGAAAGTTTTTAACGAATTTTCTTTCAAAATAAATTAAAAGCAAATAAATCTAAATAATTAATTTAAAAAGAATCAAAATTTAAATGAAAAGCAAAGAAAAGAAAAGTAATTAAAACTATAAAGAAATTTATATTTAATAAAAATCTTTTTATTCGTAGATAACGCACAGCAAGCAGTAGAATAGTTGAATGATCACTACAATAAGCTATTAGTTAACTATAAAAGCATAAATCGAAAATGAAAAAAGTATATAGTCATAAAATTATTTTTTTAATACCGGTATAAGATTCAAAGTATTGCCCATCCTGGCTTTTAACAAGTAACTTGATTATATACTATTCATAAGGCCGATTTTACGCTAATAGAGTTAATTAATATCAAATAATTGCTTAATGGTGACATTTACAAGTATGTTAACAATATTCTATGCAAAAATAAAACATATTTTTGTTTTTAAATTAGTTCAAGAAGAATAGCTGTTGTATATTCATCCATTTAATAGCCTAAATGTATATTGCTAGAAAATTTAAAGCCAATAATAAAAATTATATTGATTTGCAAAAAAAGTCCATAATTAAATCAATTTATGAAATAGATAATGTGTACGAAGATGATGATTAAAAACAAATGCTTATTTTCATGCTTGATTCATTAGGATATTTTATTCATTTATTTTTAAATTTATATTTCTAATTTGTAAAACATTATTCATAAATAAAAAAAGGATTTAATCGCTAGTGAAGGTATCTGGAGAGACTCTAAAAATAATAAAAGTGGTTTGGTTTATAGCAGTTTATTTTGATCGGGCTAATTCATTTAGCTCGTGACATCTAATTTCTGAAAGTAGACTTTAAGCCGAAAATGGAAGATAATTTTATTATGGAGACTCAAATCTATTTAATCGTAGGCAAAAATCAGAAACAAACTGCATTTCGCCCCTAAGTTTTTAACAATTTACTCCAGATAATATGACTCTTCCACACACTTAGATGAAACTTAGGAAACGCATAAGCCTCACCACTTTCCTGTCAAAATTTCTTAAAAAAAAAAATATAAAAAAGATAAAAACTAAATAACATTAAAAAACATTGAAAAAAATTAAATTAATAAAAATATTTAACTGAAAAATTGAAATAAATTAAGAAAAAAAATTAAATTTAAAAAAAATATGAATTAAATTAAAAATAAAAATTAACAGAAAATAAATAAATTAATTAATAAATTAATCAAAAAGGCAAATAAAAATTAATAAAATAAATGAAAAAAATACTAAAAATATAATTAAAAGTAAAGAGACAAATTAACAACTTTTTAAATATCTTGATATAGAAATATATTAATACATTATAATGTTCGAATTTATTTTTGTTTTTCTTTTATAATTAATTCATTCAAAAATATCTTTTGGTATAATTAGAATCGCTTAGCATATAATTTAAGATGATTTTAAAATATATTGATTTATTATATTGTGATTTAAAGAGTATTGCTTTATTAAAATTAGCAATATTTGAAAATTTTCAAAATTAGTATTTTTATTAATTTGCTAAGCTAAATTTAGCATACTTTTTAGCAAAGATTTATTTTTTTTTAACAAATAAAGCTTTTTTGTTAATTTATTTATTTGTAAGTTGAATACTAAGAACTAAGGTTTTAGAAGAAATTGTAAATTTCGACAGTTTTTATTAGGTTAGTTTAATTGAATGACATTTAAATTGTTTTTGATCAAAATTAGACATTAAGATTACTTGAAATTAGTATTAAGCGTATTAATTATAGAGAGTAATCTTAAAAGATAGTATCAGGGTAATATTTAAATTATGATATTTATTGTTAAATAGATGTGGTAGTTAATAGTTAGAGAGTTTTTAAGAAACTGGAATTTATACATAAAGAAGATGAATAACTTTATTTTAACTCTTTTTAAGAGTGTTGATAAAAGTAATTATTATACATCACCTATACCTATTTAAATATAAAGATAAAGAGCTCTTTTTTCACAAATATTCAATTTTATTTTAATATCGCAGTATTTCATTATAGATAATTAATCTTGAGAACTCCATATCATATTTTTATTTTTTGTACTCAATTCCCAAACTATATTTACTGTTATTTTAGTTTGATTTAATTTATTTTTATTTTGATAGTAATGGTATTAAATCATACTAAATAAATTAGTATTTTGTATGAAAAAATAGATAGGTATGTTGCTTCAATCCAAAGTATGTTATGAAAAATTAACTATATTTGTTATAATTTCAATGCTATTATTATTTTTAAATAAGCATTAAGAAATGGTAATACCTTTAGAAGTAAAAAAAGAAATTAGAGGAAGAATTTCATAATAAATTGCTTGTTTTTTTCTAAATATTTTTTCATAAAATCATCAAACAATTGAAATAATTTTATTTCAGATGCAAAATTAAGCTTATTTAATTGGATATGTTAATTAATTTATTGCAAAATCAGTATTTAAGTTAGAATAGTGGCTAAGACAATCTATTTAATTTACTTATAACTTCAAAATTATAAGAAAAAATATCATCGAAACGTGAAATTAACTCAAAATAATAAATCTAAACAAAAAAGATACATAAAATTTCTCATATTTTCTTTTGTTTTTAAGATGACAAAATTGGTTACTTATAATTTTAAATAGAAAAATTTTTGCATGTTTATAATTACAATCGAACCATTTGCTGCCAAATTATATACTATTAAAATATCAATTAAAATTAAAAAAAATTGTTTACAGTTATTACCTGTAAATACAAAAATGACAAAAATTCTTAGAAGTTTTTTTCTGAAATTTATCAAAATAAATTTGATTAACTAAAGTTGCTATTACAGTAGTACTATTGATTGAATAAGACTATATAAAAAGCTAGCCATAGAAATTAAGATTTAGAGCATGAATTAAAATTTTTATTCATTTTACCATTAGATTAGTTGGCACAATCCACTTCTTACAAAAATCTTAAGGTTACATACAAATAAAAATTTAATAATGTATAATTAATATAGTCAGAATTTTTTTAGTTATTTTTAGGATTTACAAAAACTAAAATTTATATTTAACAAAACTTACAAAATAAGATTACAACTTTCTTCTTACTCTTTTATTATTATCATGAATTTCATTACGACCGTTTTCTAGCTTAACTTATCTTTCTATAAAGCTATCAGTTAAAAATAGGTTTTCTAAACACTTAACTTATAAGTTAATTAATTTGTTTGCATAAGAAATGAAAAACTTTTGAAATACAACTTTGATTTAGGTTTTCCCATAAACAAGCACATCCCATTATAAAAATAGTAACTAGTTGAGAAATATTAATAAAAGATAAATAATATATTACATCATTTTGAGATTTCAGAAATATATTTAATTTAAATAAACATTACATGTTATATAACAAAATGAATGAGCGAGTGATTAATAAATTGATAGACATAAGAAAGGTAGCGTAATTTTTCAAGCAAGTTTTTTCCACACAAAAAATAAAATAGTATGGTGTTGCATGATTAATTAATTAACCAGCTTTATTATAATAGGAAATGTATTTAAATTTATTAATTTAATACTTATTCTCTAACTACCCCAGCTTAACTTTCTCAATTAGCTTAATAAACACTCTATCAGAAATCATAAAAAGATTTATTAATATTCGAAGCAAATCTTTCGCATTCATGCATATTTAATAGGATTTTAATTACAATTATAAACAAATACTATTTAAATAGAAGAATGGAAGAAATTTAGGGTAATATAAGAATCTATGATTAGAATCGATTAGAAAAGACTCAATAAGTAAAAAAAATATTACTTAATTTTTTTAAACAAGAGGTGTATTCTTTCATTTTTTTTTTTAATAAAAACATGTAAGATTTACAGTTAATTGCAATACAAATTTTTACTTAATGGTCAATATTTGATAACTGGGTTAGACAATTTTACATCTCCATTCTTTTTTTAAGAAATTACTGTAAATTTTTGATAATCCAGCTTTAAAATCAAAGGAGATTTGTGATTGAAGGGCTGCTTATTTATTTTTGATTTTTGATTAGATTATTATAAATTTTACAGTGTTTATGTAATCTGAAATTAAATCAATCAATATTATCTTAATTGCACATTAGTAAATAAATTAAATAAATAAGGTAGTGTGAAAGTGAAAACTATTTTTTATATTTAAGCTAACCACAATTTACTTTCTTCTAATTTTGCAAGCTCGAAAACTGTAACGAAAATGAGCAAAGTGCTTGGTAAAATTTAATAGTTAGAACCTTGATAATTAAGAGGAGTATTTAATTTATCGAAAAAAAAAAGAACGAATGTATAAGTCAGAAGAGTCTAGACTAAATAAATATATTATTAAATTTTTCTACTAGCATTTTGGTAATATAAAATTTTAAGGTCAAATCATGACTTATTACTCTTTTATATTTTAGGATTCTGCTATCATTCATTTGTAAATAAAATAATAAGAACAAACAAAATACTTAAATATTTTGAGAATGTGATTCCTTTTTATTAGCAATTGCCTTTTAATGCTTGTAATTGTATAATATTTTATGATTCAAATTTATTCATTTATCGTAGAAGGTGATTAGTTAAAGCATTAATATTTACTAATTGCTGCTAATTAAATGAACTATTTGGAACCTATAAAAATGATAAAAAGTGAAAACTTATATGCAAATAATTGAATGGAAACTTTAGTTATGCTTTATTTAGAATATTAGGTATTTAGCTTAGATTAAATCCAATGATAGTGATCAAAACAGAAATGTGAAGTATAATTAAAATCGAATTAGTGACTCGCAGTTATTAGTACCATACATATGACCAATAAAATATAGATAAATTAAGAAATATATTATAATTATTATTTTTAAAATAAATGATAGTAAATCTTGTAAATGATCTAAGTTACTCAATACTATTAAATGTAAAGTTGCATTTGTGTTTTTTGTTTGTTAAGAAATTTAAATAAATTGTGTGATTAAAAAGATAGCTTTAATTTCTTTTGAGAAATCCAACAAGTTGATATTCCCTCTTATGTTTCAACAGAAAGAGCATCTATCTATCTATTTAATAATGTTTTTCCCTCAAACAATTTAATGAAAAAAATTAATTAATTAATTTTTTTTTAAATACCCACTTTTTCTTTCAGGATGACTGATTAATATACCACAAATTTTAATTTATTTTTAAATCAGCATATCTTTCCTACCCTAATACTTTCAGAATACAAATTTCGGAAAAATTTGATTTAACTAAAAAAGGAAGAAAAAATTTAATTAATTGAAATATTCATCGATTATAAAATATTTATTTCATTGTTTTTTTGATTGATTGTTTGTTTTTTACTGCTGCGCGTAAATAAATAAATAATCAAAGTATTAAAATTTTTAAATATAACAAAAGTAATAATAAATATTAATTAAAATAAATACCTGTCATTTCATTCTAACCCATTTCGCATTAATTATGCTTTAGACGGTTTTTACTTTCTAAAATGATTACATAAATAAATGATAAAAAACCAATGGGATTTTATTGTTCTTACATTTTTTATAATATGTGCATTTAAAGTTAAAGAATATTTTTTAATTTGTAGAACATGCAGTTATTTTTCTAAAAAATATTAATTTTATTATTCATTATTACTGATTGCTCAATCATTTAAACGCTGTCAATTTTTTAGTTTTAATATATACATGCATACACAGATATTATTTTTATTTGAAAAAGATTAAGCTGTATCTATTTTTATTTGTAATTTAATTAATTCT